TGCCTGTGTCTCTGCCTCTCTCCCTCTGTGTCTCTCATGAAGAAATAAATAAAATCTTTGAGAAAAAATTCTGTAGAGTATTTCCAAAATTGTATATCTAACATTTTGAAATGAGACTTAATATATTTGTATTTATACCTGTAGAGTCACCACTATGAGACAATATTAGCACAGGCTGATATCGGTGTATATGTTGCTGACCCAAAAGCTCTGAGTTTCAGTGCTGTTGCTGATCTGGTTTTTCAAAAGGGTGAACAACTCCTAGTAAAGCTGCAAGAACACAAAGTACAATCCTCCCTTGAGTATTTTTATGTTTTGGGAAAACTCAATCCCTATTAAAACCATGCCAAAGATCCTTTGATAATATGTGAAATGGAGTTGGAGTCCTATTCTCAGAAAATTAAAATCAAATTTTTCAGCAGTAGGAAAATTGTGCAAGATACAGAACATTTCTTTGTTGTGTTGAGCTGCATGCCCGACCTCTATCTACTGAATACTAGTAGTACTCTCCTCCCACTTGTTATGATGGACAAGAATGTGTGCATTTTCTTTTTTAACAGTACTGCCAGAAGGACAGTTACATCCCTTAGTTTCCATAAAAATGGGTAAAATGGGCATATCTACCTTCAATCTCATGAGGATTAAATGGATAATACACATAAAATGTTTGTATTAGAGTCTGGCCTATTGTAAGAATTCAATAACCAGGGATTGATAACTTGTTAGCAATTGAAAATATGGGTCTAGTCATAAATAAGAGAAGAGAAAAGTCAAGAGAAGGTTTGGGAGTCATGTAGACAGGTTGATGTAAACATTGTAAAATGCCAGGCAGAAACTTAATAAGATTGAGTTTAAGAGGGATAAATATAAGATCCCATGGCTTTTCTGTACAATAAATTAAGGCTGAAGAGATATGGCAGTATGGCTAGGCAACAGTTCATAAGAAAACAGCCATCAAGCCAAGATTAGCCATGGTATAATTGCTTAACTACCACCACGCACACACACTGACAGTACATTAATGGTATAATGTCCAGGTCATGCAGTGCTGCAATCCCATAGACAAGGTTTCATGTGGGCTGTATCTGGGGCTGGGGAAACCAGGCTTTAAGAGTGCTGTTGAGAAGATAGCAACTGGATAGAAAGCTAATGCTACAGAGTTTAGGTATAAAAAGAGAAGTTATGACAGTTTTTCAGATAATTTAAAGACAGCAGTTTTTCGCAGAAAATAACCTTGTCTGTAGAAAACAAATCTACAACCTTCTGTAAGTTACAAGAAAGCAGCTATTTTGTAGTGAGCAGATATTTTGTCGTTAAAAAAACTCAACCAAGTAAACTTTAAGATCTGACTGGCTTTATTAAACAAATCAGGCAGCATCCCATCTAGCAAGTAGAGAGCTCCAAAGTGGAACGTTCCGGGCAGCCTGGGTGGCTCAGCTATTTATCACCACCTTCAGCTCAGGGCGTGATCCTGGAGTTCTGGGATCGAGTCCCCTGTCGGGCTCCCAGCGGGGAGCCTGCTTCTCCCTCTGCCTGTGTCTCTGCCGCTCTCTGTGTCTCTCGTGAATAAATAATAAATAAAATCTTAAGGAAGAAAAAAAAACCACAAAGTGGAACTTTTTTTTTAATAGAAAGGAGGGTGGGGCAAGAAGTTATTAGCAAAGGTAAGCTCACCTTCCCTTAATGGGAAGGGCACGGGGTTTTATCATGCACAGCACCTCAGCTTCCTTTGGGGGTGGCCGGTGCGGGTAGGGATGGCCCCTGTGACAGACTACCTCATTGGTGCTGACCAGAAAACTCCTGACCCACTAGTTAAGACTGCATTTCTGGGAAGGTTGAACTACAATTCAGTTAAATATTAAACCCTGGTTTGGTGACATGACCTAGCATGAGTGACTCCATCTTGGGCCTTCAGTTTTCTTTCTTTTTCTTTTAAAAGAGTTTATTCATTCATTCATGAGAGACACACAGAGAGAGAGAGGCAGAAGGAGAAGCAGGCTCCATGCAGGGAGCCCCGACGTGTGGGACTTGATCCCGGGTCTCCAGGATCACACCCTGGGCCAAAGGCAGACGCTCAACCGGTGAGCGGCCTAGGCCTGCAGTTTTCTCAACACGGTCAACCAGGCACTTGATTGCTCTTTTCAGGGATGGTGTAGAATAGAATTTTATGTATATAGATGATTTCTAAAGGCTTTTCCAACTATTGAGGTGGGTGTGGAAATAGACTCCAAGGTAGGTCACCCTGCCAATCACCTTTTTCTAGCAAAATTCAAGGTAGATTCCTTCTGGGCCCACTTTGATTTAAGATGTTTGACTATAAGTAGCTGAACAGGATTGACAAGAAAGCCTCAATTCTCAAGAGCCTGGGAGGGCAGTGGAGTGGGGAGCACAAAACAGGCACACTGAATCCTCTTTTTTGACAGATTTACTTTTTTCCAGCCTTTGGTTTTCCCATCCAAGTTGCCCCTGAATTTTAGGTGGTTTAGGTCACCCTGGTCTGATCACTCCAAAATTATTTTCCTTTTCTTGTCATTGCTGTCAGGGAAGCCTCTTGCCAGTTTTTCATGTAACCCCTATCCCCCATAAGTAAATCTTCCTTCTGTGACTCTTTCTGAAGCAATGCTCTAGAACAGAGTTTCTCACGTGCAGTCTGTTGACTCCCTCAGTAGATGTGAAATTGTGTATGTTTTTGCATTTCTCAGAGAAGAGGGGTGTTGGCATTCATTGAATCCCCAGAGGGGAGTATCTATAAGATGAAGAATCACTTAAATAAACCCCTTTGTAGGTAAGGCAAATCTCTGTTTTTTGTCTCTATGTTTTTCAGTTGCCTTTGGTTAAATTCTAAACGAGGTGTGGTGGATTGTTCAGCAAGAGCCAAGTTAATTAGAAGCCTCTTCTAAGTTCCCTGCTTGGACCAAGAGCCCTTCATTCGTGATTGTAGAGCACCCTCCACGCACCTCTGTCAGAGCGCTTGCCACTGTATATGAGTTCATTTATGGGACCCTCTTCTATTATTAGATTTGAAGGGTAGCCCTGTATTGTGTTAGTTTTTGTATTCTGAACACTGAGCATCATACCAGGGATGGTGGTAGATGTTCAAAAATGTTCTTGACCAGAACCATTTACCCATAATAAGCCAACAGATTCTTCTTTCTGCCCCAAGCAACAAATATTTTAAGCATTTACCTTGAACCAGGTATTATGTTAGACACTGGGAATACAGAGATAAGCTTCTTGCAGGGAGCTAATGGGCTATATCCAGAGGGACATGATTTTTGCCACTCCTTGGAGCAGTTGTGTGTGAGCCATATGCGAATGCATTTACAATAGCAATGATCTTGCAAAAACTCTCCATTCCATAACAGACATTAGTTATATGCACATAGTCCGCTACTTCTGTTACTCAAAACAAGAATGAAAATGCTTTTGCTAGTCTTCCTCAAAACCACCCATTAAATGTCTCTCCAAAATCCTCTTTGACTACTGCTGCTAATTAATGATTTGCCTCTTAAAAATAGAAAATGTAGATGGAAGATACTGATAAAAGAAGTGTCAGCATTTAGGCCCATATTCTGCACATAGAAGTGTTTTTTTGTTTTAAATTCATGATTTGTAAAAACAAATAGGGGTGCTTGGGTGGCTTAGTAGGTATTCAAAAATGTTAAGTGTCTGCCTTCTGTTCAGGTCATGATTCTGGGGTCCTGGGATTGAATCCCACATCATGCTCCCTGCTCAGTGGGGAGTCTCCTTCTCTCTCTGCCCCTCCCCCTGCTTGTGCTCAGGCACTCTGTCATGAATACGTAAACTCTTTAAAAAAAAAAAAAAACAAATAGAAGGGCACCTGGCTGGTCAGAGGAACACGTGACTCTTGATCTCAGGTTGTGAGTTCAAGCCCCATGTTGGGTATAGCGATTACTTAAGTAAGTAAAACTTAAAAAACCAAACGATGGAAAATCTTTGTGTTTGGTTCATTAGTATGTCCTTTTTCTTTTCCAGCTTATACATACTATAATTTCAGGGATTTGAGTTCGTGTCAGACTACATTTATAGTTTTCCAGCTTTTATTTAAAAGCAGGAAGCCCCTTCTTCAAACCTAAACAAGAGCAGAGCAGTTTGTTGAAAGCAAGGGGCTTTGCTGCTACCCTTAAGCCCCTAAGGGGACGCCAAGGGAGCCTGGTTTGAGAACTGAGGACTAGATAGTATTTATGGGTCAGTAGTTGAGTAGGGCATGATTTGTCCACAGAACAGGAAAGCCAAGTCCAGAGCACTGTGCTATCTGTTTTAGAGTTCTTTATGCTTAAGGAGATCATGACTTTGGGGAGCATAGCAAAAGTCATCTTTGGATATGTATTTCAAAAGATATGCTGTCCTTACCGGAAGGCTCTGATTTAATAGGTGTGAAATAAGGCTCCGGCATCTATAGTTTTGAATAACTCTATTAACCTAGGAGAAGCCTTTTTAAATGTCACTAGAGTGTAAAAAGTTAATATACTAGTTATACCTAGAAATATTTGCACTGCTTACAGAGAATATGGATTTCTGGCTTCCTGAGTTGAGCTTCAGAGACTTTTCTAAAAAACTTCTGTTTCTATTGCACTACCGTTCCTGCTGCCTGAATGAAACGCTCTTCCCCCTAGATATATGCATAATTATGGCTGTTGTTTATTTTCTCTCTCCAGCCTCTAAAATGTAAGCTTCACTTGAGCGGACATGTCGTTTGTCTTATTCATTGATTCATTACATGCTTCTAGAATAGTCAGTAAATATTTGTTGAATAACTACTAGCAGTGAGGTATTTCAGGTATGTTTTGGTTGAAAAGATTTCTTGGACTGCTCTGGAAGCCTAACCTCCTCCCTCTATAGCATTTTCTATATAAAAAAAAAAAAAAAAAAAGTACTCCAAGTACCAAAAAAACAGATATGCAAGTAAAAATGTGTAACACTACCACGTAGCACATTTGGTTGGTTCTTGACCAACTGTAACTTTATTTTCAAAACAGGATGTGATATGGTCTGACTTCGGGTTTCCTGGAAGAAATGGACGGGAAAGTACATTGTGGATTGGCTCCATGGGAGCCCATACACCCTGTCATCTGGACTCCTATGGTTGCAACTTAGTATTCCAGGTACAAGGAAGGTAATGCATGGGTACATGCATATGAGTGTGTGTGTGTGTGTGTGTGTGTGTGTGTGTGTGTGTCTGTATGTGTGTTGTGTGTGTGTGTGTTGCACAGGAAGAGGAATGAGGACCAGGCAGGTGGCAGACCCCAAAGTTTATTCCTAGCTCTACCCCATCAGCTTGCCTCATGACCATGACTGATCAGTTAACCTCAGGTTTAGTTTCCTCCTTTTTGAAGTAAGGAAACAGTTCAAATGATGGTTTCCATATGTGTCCTGTCAACCATGATCAGGATTAACCTTCAGAGACCTGATCCTAGTGCTCCAGGATTCCACTCCTAGTTCAGCTAGACAGTTGTCTGCTTAGCTCTGTTATGTAACACACTGCATTTGTAGTTTCAAACTTCTATTTAAAAGCAGGAAGACCCTCTCTTCAAACCTAAATAAACAAAAACAGACCAGTTTGTTGAAAGAGAGAGGCTTTGCTGCTATCCTCAGGCCCCTGAGGAGATGCCAGGGAGCCTGGTTTGGGAACTACTGAATGAGATGATATTTATGGCCCCTTCTGAGTCTAAATTTTAGTCTGTGTTTACATGTAGACACAATGCAGTATCTTACTACTTCAGTTAAGTTCTCCATCTGTCTGTGGACCCTAAGATGTGTAAGGGTAAGTCAGGCAATACTTTTGATAATCCAGGATTCTGCTAGTTGGAGGCTGTACTTAGAATATTGTATGCGTAGCCTTATTTTCCCCTGATTAGTGATGCTCGAGTCTCCTTTCCTGGCCCTTTGGAGCATTTATAGGACAGCAGGAAAAATAGTAATGGCCATTTCCAGGTTCTTAGACCCTTTAGACAGGGAGAGTATTATGAGTAGATTAAAAAAAAAAAAAAAACAGTGAATAAGTATATGAGTAGATTTCACAGGTGAAATATTTTAAAACCTATAAAATGGAGTAAGACGGTCCATTTCTGGATTCATACAACTTTATTAAAGGGTCTAGAACATTTCAGGTGCATTATTATGTGTTACGGATGCCACAGTGAATCAAGTGTGCATGGCTCTTGCCCTTAGGGAGTTAGTAGACTAAACCTTAAATTTGGTAAGAGAGATATCATTGTTAAGTAGCTGTTTTCAACATGTTCTGAATTGGGAAAGAAATCCAGTTGGGAAAACATTACCAAAAAATACCTGGGTTCTTCCTATGATGTAGAATTAATAAAGCTTTATTTTAACATTGTAATAGAGTATATTTTAACATTTTCCAGTCTCAAAGCTCTGGAATAGTAAAATAACTATTCAGTAAATACTCATGGAGCAAGTACCATCTGTTACAGTAGGAATGGAGGTGAATGAGTAAGATACCTCTCTGCCGTGAGAGAGTTTATAGTTAGAGTACAGGGAAGCCCACAACTAGTGTGACAGAAGGCAGAATGGACATGCTCCTGAGGAAGGTTTCATAGAACTGTAAAAAGTAGGAGAGATACCGTTCCTGCTGAAAAGATGAAGATTTCAGAGAAGAGCTGCCATTTGTGATAGGCTTTGAAGGGTGGGTGAATGTTCAAGACATGGGTGGGAGGGGCAGAGGAACCAGTATGACCGGAGCCCTAGGAAAGCATGTGGTGTATAAAGAAAGAATCCTGTGAATTGGCCAGTGTATGCTGAGCATTAGAAATGAAAGGATTAGGCAGGAAAGGGAAGGTGGACCCAAAAGTTTACTTTCAGGCAAATAACCTCTTATGCTCTTTTAGCATGCAGGACAATGAAATGTTTTTTGATGAGGGGATGACATGGTGATTCACCACCTTTTCTGATTAATTAGAGAAGAACGTGTATGCAGTTGACCCTTGAATAATGAGGGGGTTTTGGGTACCGACCCCCATACACAGTCAAAACTCCACATGTAACTTTTGGCTCCCTAAAAATTTAACCATTAATAGCCTACTATTGACAGGAAGCCTTACCAATAACGTAGACAGTTGATTAACACATATTTTGCATGTCATATATATTATATTCTGTATTCTTACAGTAAAGTAAGCTAGGGGCGCCTGGGTGGTGTAGTCAGTTGAGCCTCTGACTCTTGTTTGCAGTTCAGGTCATGGTCTCAGGGTCATGGAGGCCAGCCCTGCATCAGACTTAGTACTGGATTTGGAGTCTGCTTGAGATTCTTACCCTCTCCCTCTGCCCCTTTTCCCTCCTTACATGTTCACTCATTCAAAATAAATAAATAAATAAAATATTTTTTTAAAAAAGCAAGCTAGAGAAAAGAAAATGTTATTAAGCAAGTCATAAGGAAAATACATTGACAGTATTGTACTGTATTTATCGAAAAAGCATCTGCACATAGGTGGACCTGTGTGGTTCAAACCACATGTTGTTAAAGGGTCAGCTGTATATTACATTTTTAGTGGAGCAAAACAAATTGTATGGGATTGTTATCATTATGGCTATTCCTGTAGGAACACAGCCATGAGGCAGAAGTAGGAGTGGGACCTAAAGAGGTCAGGAGATCTGGGGCCTCGTTCTGGGTCCACCACTAATCACTAGTCCAATGAATGACATTGAAAAAGTACTGGGTCCCTTTCCCACTACTTTGAAAGTAAAATTAGACTGATGACCTATTAAGAGTTCTGGCTCAGGACGCCTGGGTTGCTCAGCGGTTAAGCATCTGCCTTTAGCCAAGGGTGTGATCCCAAAATCCCAGGATCAGGTCCTATATCAGGCTCTTTGCATGGAGCCTGCTTCTCCCCTCTGCCTGTGTCTCTGCCTCTCTTTCTCTCTTTCTCTCATGAATAATAAAATCTTAAAAAAAAAAAAAAGTTCTTCTAGCTCTGACATTCTAAACTTAGTAAATGCCTGGAATTCTCCGAAGCTACATAGCTGCAGTGGAATTGAGCAGCTTTATCTTGAAGGCAGAATGAGACTTTACTATCTACTTCTTAGTTTGAAAATAGCAGCCAGCTGAAAGGAACATAGTGGTCCCACTGTACTGCAAGGAGTCACTAGAGAGCTTTAAGGCTTTTCTCAAAACTAGTTCTCTCTCTCTCTCCTTGTCCCTGCCCCTCTCCCTGTTCTCTCTCTCTCTCTCTCTCTCTCTCTCTCTCTCTCTCTCTGTCTTGTTCTCTCTGCTTCCCCATCTGTGTATGTCTGTCTGTATGTCTTCCTTTTTCACACTTTCTCCTTCTTTGCCTTAGATGTCCTCCCTCTATTGGCTCAAAGTATGGGTGTGTCTAGTGTCTTGTGATTTAAGATTTATCACTTCCATTTTTCAAAAACTTTTAAGTGACCGAAATATTTTACAATTTTCTCTTCTTAAAAATTCTAATATTATACCACTTTTTAGTTGGGTGGCATAATTTGTGCATTTCTTTTCCTTATGGATTAACTTAACACAGGTTTAAGGAATTTACAAACCCAAACTGGGAGAAGTCTGGAAACTATTTGGTGGATAGCTCTATGGGTGACTAGTCTGCAGAAGATAAAAATACAGGTATTTGAAAAGGAGGGATTATTCACGGTAGCTCCAGAATCAGGGATAGAATCAACTTATGAGGAAGTAAACTTTTTTTTTTTTTGAGGAAGTAAATTTTGATTTGAGATATAAAAGAATGATCTGAAGGGGCACCTGCACCCTGATGTTTATAAGCAGCATTATCAACAATAGGCAAACTGTGGAAAGAGCCCAGATGTCATCCATTGACAGATGAATGGATAAAGATGTGGGACACACACACACACACTGGAATATTACTCAGCCATCAAAAAGGATGGAATCTTAGCATTGACATGGATGTGGATGGAACTGGAGGGTATTATGCTGAGTGAAATAAGCCAGAGAAAAATAGTTATATGGTTTCACGCATATGTGGAGTTTAAGAAATAAAACAGAATCGTAAGGGAAGGGAGGAAAAAATAAAATAAGATGAAGTCAGAGAGGGAAACAAACCATAAGATACTCTTATGTATAGGAAACAAACTGAGGGTTGCTGGAGGGGAGGAGATGGGATAACTGGGTGATGGATGTTAAGGAGGGCCTGTGATATAATGAGCATTGGGTGTTACATGCAATAGATGAATAACTGAACTCTACATTAAAAACTAATGATACACTATATGTTAACTAATTGAATTTAAATAAAATGAGTTTATTTAAAAAAAAAAAAAGAATGATCTTACAAACTAGATCCTGTCCCAGCAGTAGGGTTGCCTTAGGGCAATAGGGCATCAGGAGATAGCTGGTGGTTGCTGCTTTACCTTCACCAGTATCAGCACAGGAGATTCCAGTACTGAGAGATGGGCCAGGTGACTACTGAGACTGCTCCTATATCCTTTATGGATCAGATGAAAATGAACACTTAGCTGCTGCCTTCTTAGATGTTTTGTCTCAAGTTCAGATTACTAACTTGTATCTTATTTTTTTAATTAGGAAAAGATGGCATCTCTTTCCTCCGGAAGATACTCCTTTCCTTTATCCGACTAGAATCCCTTATGAAGAATCTAGTGTGTTCAGTAAAATCAATGTTGTGAATCCTGATTTAAAACGTTTTCCTCAGTTCTGCAAAGCTCGAAGATATATGGTTACACTAAAGCCAGGACAGGTAATGGGGGCCTTAAAACATTGATGACCTGGCAGTGTGCCCCCAGCTGTATACCCTCTTTCATATCTGTATACCACATGCCTCCTCACCAGTACAAATGAGAATGATTTTCTTCCCTGCTGCTCTCTGCTGTTAGGTGACTTCAGACACAAACTTCTCAGCCTCACTGGTCATGGAACTATGGGAAGAGGGAATACAGCTCTTTCTGCTGGTTAAGAGGAGGTTGACTTTGGAGAAAAACAAGAACTCACAGTCCTTTATTTTCTAAAGATTTTATTTATTTGAGAGAGAGAGTATTAGAGTGTGACGGGGTGAGGGGTCGGGTGTGCAGGGGGAGGGAGACAGACTCCCCAAGGAGCAGGGACCTCAGTGGCAGCCAGATCCCCAGGACCCTGGGATCATGACCTGAGCCAAAGGCAGACACTTAACTGAGCCACCCCGGCGCCCTACACAGTCATTTTTAATAAGGTTAAGAGAAAGTGTCAGGCCATGGGTACTTGAGCACCTCTAGAACATTTATTCACAATTAATATCCCTTCAATTATGTTAGAACTCAGACCCATAACTGCAGGTGGGAAGGCATCCAGGCGATGGGTCAAAAAGACAGAATGAACTTGAGAAGGATCTGCTTTTAAGCAAACACGGATGTTCCTTTTATTAAAGACTGTCTCTGAAACATTTCCAAAGAGTTTGCTCTTAATGCTGCTCTCCAGTGAGGAGAACCACCTTTACAACATTGGCATTTTCTGTCTGATGTTTTATTAACAATCTGAAAGTTTTTCTTAGTCTCTTTAAGGAGATTTTATTCCCTCAACCATTCCTCTCGCCTGGATGTTTTCCTTTTTTTGGTCCCTTCTCCCTGGCTCTTTTCTGCTTCCTTCACATGTGAAGACTCCAACTTAAATAACTCGACTTAAACAGCTTGCTTCAACCTGCTAGCGGTCATTCCCCAAGCACCTATCCCCCTATCCTCTGACAACCATCTATTTTATAGCCCTACAGATTTACCTAATCTGGTCATTTCACTTACGTGCAGTCGTACGAGTGGCCTTCTGCATCTGTCTGCCTTCTTCCACATGGCATTGTACTGCAAGATGTTACCAGTACCTTATTCCTTTTTATGGCTGAATGTATTTCATTGTTATAGATATACACTTTGTTTATCCATTCATCAGTTGATAGACATTTGGGTGGTTTCCACTTTTTGGCTATTATGAAGAATGTTGCTGTGGACATTGGAGTACCAGTTTTTGGGTGAAGATATGTTCTCATTTCCCTTGGTTATATACCTACCAGTGGAATTGCTGGGTCAAATGGTAACTCTGTGTCTAACCTTTTGAGGAACTGCCCAGCTGTTTTCCACAGCAGCTACACCATTTTACATTCCCACAATCCTTCTGGTTCTGATTTCTTCACCTCCTCACCAACACTTATTTTCCATTATTCCTATTATTATAGCTATTCTAGTGAGTGTGACATGGCTGGTCATTTTTTCTTCTATTTTAATAGCCAAATTTAAATGTGTGGCTCTGTCCATCAATGTTCCTTACATTCTGCTCGTTCTCTAATCTACCGACAACTGGCTCCCTCTCTTATCACTTTACTGGAAGGATAATCTGATAGGACATACATGATCTCCTTCAGACTAAATGCAGTAGTCCTTTGTAGGGCTTAGCCCTAAAAGGTGCTGTCTTCCCATCTCCTAGCACCACCTTACTCATAGCAGATGCCATCCATTTTCTCAATCTGAGTCCCCAAAGCTTTGGATCATCCCATCTGCTGTTCTCAAACTTTCATGGGTACTAATTTCATACTGAGCCTGGACAAATGCAGTCCTTTTTGACTCTGCCTATTGCTTTTGTTTACTATACCTTCCTGTTTAGATCTCAACATTTAATAGTTGGACCACCGAATGAATCTCCTGTCCTTCCCAGACTCTCCCAGGATGTTGCTGTTTTAACCATCCCCCTACTGGGGATCCCTGGGTGGCGCAGCGGTTTGGCGCCTGCCTTTGGCCCGGGGCACGGTCCTGGAGACCCGGGATCGAATCCCGCGTCGGGCTCCCGGTGCATGGAGCCTGCTTCTGTCTCTGCCTCTCTCTCTCTCTCTCTCTCTCTCTCTGTGCGCGACTATCATAAATAAAAAAAATAAATAAATAAAAAAAATTAAAAAAAATAAAAATAACCATCCCCCTACTAAAACTTTCTTAGCAGGGCACCTGGGTCACTCAATTGATTAAACGCCTGACTCTTGATTTCAGCTCAGGTCATAATCTCAGGGTGATGAGATTGAGCCCTGCTTCAGGTTCCACGTTTAACGTGGAACCTGTTCAAGACTCTCTCCCTCTCAAAAAAGAAACTTTTTTCTCTTAGCAACTCTTTAATGCTTAAAAATAAAATCCAGATTCTTTATTCTGAATTCAGGGCCTTCCATTGGCCCTAATCTAACTTTCCCACCTCATCTCCCATTACCCCATCTGTAATGTAACCGTAAGACTGACCTAATTGCTGTCCCTTGACAGTCCCCTCTCCCTTGCCCGTAGTACTTCTCCCTCCTGGCATGTCCTCATTCTTTGCTCTGTCTGCGTTGTCTCCTAACCCTGGTTCAAACCACACTTCCTCCATACCAGGCTGCCCCTGCCCTCCCTGGTTTGTGCCTGTGTCTCCCACCTCTGAGGTTCTCTAGCACCAGTGTCTACTCCTCTGAGTTACCACATATCAGATTCCCCATTTCTACATATTGTTTCTTCATTGGCTAGATTTTGGATTGTGAAAAGACAGAAACTACTGCCTATATTTTTACCTGTGCCCTTTTTCAGAATGCATACAACTATTTCTCAATGGAAAGGAGGAAAAATTAGAATCTAAGAGTCCTTTACTACGATTTAGATGCAGGCAGAGCAGGTCCAGGATTAAAGACAGTAGAAGTTGGGAGAAGCTGGCACCATCCTTTGTGGAACATGTGAACTTGTTGCTTAAAAGGAAGAAATAAAGAGATTGTAGGTTTGGTTTTTTTTTTTTCTCTTGTTTCCCTTTCTGACAGTAATATTACCATACATATGTATTCCTAGCATTTTCTTTTTTCCTTTTTAAGATTTTATTTATTTATTCATGAGAGACAAACACAGAGAGAGGCAGAGATACAGGCAGAGGGAGAAGCAGGCTCCATGCAGGGACCCCAACGTGGGACTCGATCCCAGGTCTCCAGGATTACACTGTGGGCCAAAGGCAGCGCTAAACCGCTGAGCCACCTGGGCTGCCCTCCTAGCTCTTCAGTTAGGGTCTGATTCTGACATAGAAACAAAATGTGCTATTCTTGTGCTAATTTACTTTTTTGTTTGCCTTTTAGGTTCTGTTTGTTCCGAGACACTGGTGGCATTACGTAGAATCCATTGATCCTGTCACTGTCAGTATAAACTCATGGATTGAGCTGGTACTTTTTTTTTTTTTTAATAAATGTAATCCCTGCTTTTAAGTATACAGAGCCTATCTATAAAACTTGGTGATTGATTTTAACCTGCACTCCAGTATTACTTTGGTTTGATATGCTCTAATTTATGTATTCAGTGCTCTTTTAACAGGTGTTTAGGTTGGAATGAGGATTTTCAGTGATGCACCATTCTCTTTTAAAGGCACACCGTGGGCCCTGGTAGCAGTGTTGTTCGGAGAATTGTGTTGGGCCCGCCTATATCTGCCGTGTGTCCCCCACATTGCCAGTCCTGTCCACACCCAGACGGGCTGGAGATAACTTCTTCTTGGTTCAGGACCCTTACTACTAATTGCACAATTCTCAGTCCTGGCTTATACATTTTCTCAAGTAAAGTCTTTGAGTGCTAGGATTTTATCATTTCATTTCTGCCAGAGGCCTTTTCCCTGCAGAGATGCTCTGTTTAATCCTGGTCACCGGCTTCACTTGACAATTAAAATGGCTGCCCAGGGAGGCTCAGCTGAGGCTCTCGTTGCACCTGGGCCTCTTTAACCAGAGGCTTTGATTGCATCTCTGCTGCCCTGTACCCAAAGCCTGATTGCATCTCTTCCTGTCTCTGGACACTCCGCCCTCCCCTCAGGCTTTCCTTATCCTTTGGTAATGGGGAGGGCTTTGGCATAGGTGAAGCATCAGGGATACTGTAACAGGAAGTTGTACTATCTAGGCTTAGAGAAGATGTGTAGCCCTTGGGGATTAGGTGAGAGGGATGGCGGGAGATCAGTGGACTCAGTTACTCAGTTAGTTACTGGTACCATGCTGAATTGTAGTTGGAGCAAATGTCAAGATCCAGTCCACTCCCAGTGCCAAAGTCACGTCTACAATAGTCCTGGCAGTGCTTCACTTCTCGAGGTAGTTCTTTTCACTGTTACACAGAGGCACTATCACCTGCCTGCTTGTAACAGTACCCATTATTTCTGAAATTATACTGAGTTTTTTTTCTTTAAGATTTTATTTATTTACTCACAAGAGACACACAGAGAGGGGCAGAGACTCAGGCAGAGGGAGAAGCAGGCTCCACGCAGGAAGCCCGATGTGGGACTCGATTCTGGGTTTCCAGGATCACACCCTGGGCCAAAGGCGGCGCTAAGCCGCTGAGCCACCTGGGCTGCCCGTTTTTTTTTTCTTTTTAAAGGATATTTTGATGATACCTGCTTTGTGTCTCCTTAAACTTTTCATTCCTAGGCACTCAGAACCTTTGGTTTCTTTAATGATGTCTTTTACTTGACCTTTTTTCTTTTTTTTTAAAGACTCTTGGGATCCCTGGGTGGCGCAGCGGTTTGGCGCCTGCCTTTGGCCCGGGGCGCAATCCTGGAGACCCGGGATCGAATCCCACATCGGGCTCCCGGTCCATGGAGCCTGCTTCTCCCTCTGCCTGTGTCTCTGCCTCTCTCTCTCTCTCTCTCTCTCTCTCTCTCTCTCTGTGACTATCATAAATAAAAAATAAAAATAAATAAAAATAAAAAAATAAAGACTCTTTAACTAGGCACGTTTAAGTTACAGATCTGTGCCTTTGCTAGCTGTCTAACCTGGATGGTCAGTTGAGCCCATCAAGCCTAAGTCTCCTCACTTGCAAAACAGGAATGATAACTGCACTCACCCCAGTGGCATCTAACCCAGTGCTTGGCACATGGGAAGTGTTTAAAAACAGAAATTGCTACGAGAAGAAAGAACTATTATGTCAGGAGTAGCCCTCTTAATGTATAAATACCGGGAAGCCTCAGTTTGTTTCTACCTCACGTGACTTAGATCCTTAATTTCTTCCATGCTGCTCATAATATTTATCAGCTTTTTTCAGAATCTTATCTCTTTGGATTCATACTCAGTTTGAGAATATCCCTGTTTTTTTCCACATGGTCAGTTGCCATGTCAGGTTGCCCTCCATTGTGAAGCTGTAAAGCTGATTCCTTAAACCCACATCCCACACTTCCCACACTTCACTGTCACCTCTTTTAGCTGTTCTCATGTTCATTGGGGTGAGCATTCCAGCTTGCCAAGGTCATTTTGAATTTGATTCTCTTCTGTATTTTTAATAAACTCCTTCAGGTAGGCCTGTGCCCTTTTTTTTTCTAATTATTTTTTTTATTTATTTATGATAGTCACACACAGAGAGAGAGAGAGAGAGGCAGAGACACAGGCAGAGGGAGAAGCAGGCTCCATGCACCAGGAGCCCAATGTGGGATTCGATCCCGGGTCTCCAGGATCGCGCCCCAGGCCAAAGGCAGGCGCCAAACCACTGCGCCACCCAGGGATCCCAGGCCTGTGCCCTTTTGATATGTCCTCATTGTCTTGGAATATATCCTTGCTTTCTAGAATTGCCTTGGACTTGCTCTGCCTCCAACTTGAAAGTCAGTAATTTCTCTTAAGTGGTCATGGTTCCTTTTAGTGGGTAATGGTATTTAGAAACTGATATTGGAGCCCTAAGGCTGTTGTTTGTTGCTATTGGCATGTTGCTGTTTCCAGACCTTTAAATGATAAAATTAGAATGTGATATAGATGGATAGATAGATAGATAGGGATATATTTATATTTCTAATTTAAGGTTAATATTATAGGTTTTTTTCCTTATTTGTTTCTGTATTTTTATTTCTTCCCTTACACTGAAAATTGGGATCCATTCTAACAGTAACACCTACTTATTTGTTTTATTCACCCATGTCCATATATATTTTTTTTAGAGGGGAGGGGAGGGGCAGAAGAAGAACGAGACTCTTAGGCAGGCTGCATGCCCAGTGCTGAGCCTGATGCAGGGCTCGATCTCACAACCCTGAGTTCATGACCTCATCGAAAATCGAGAGTCACTTACCTGACTGAGCCACCCAGATGCCCCATCCATATATGTTTTAGGATGTCAAATTTACAATTTTAAAAATCTAATACCGTGGGATGCCTGGGTGGCTCAGTGGTTGAGTGTCTGCCTTTGGCTCAGGACATGATCCCAGAGTTCCGGGATCAAGTCCCACATCGGGCTCCTGCTTAAAGCATGTTTCTCCTCCCTCTGCCTGTGTCTCTGCCTCTCTCTGTGTCTCTCATGAATAAATAAATAAAATATTAAAAAAAAAATTGTCAGGGGCATCACTTAAAGTCTGTCTTTTCTGTGGTAATTTGAAATATTGCCTTAATCATATATTAGATATCTATTTACTTGGGTCTATTTCTACCATTGGCCTTTCTTCACATTTTTTCAACACTTCCACCCTGTTCTATTTAGATAAGTTTTATAGTATTGTTTTTAGTATCTATAGGGCCAGAAACCTTTTCTTTTTTAAAAAATCTTTATTTATTTATTTGAGCCGGGGCGGTGGGTGGCGGGGCTGCAGAAAACACGATCAGAGGGAGAAGCAGGCTCCTTGCTGAACAGGGAGCCTAATTTGGGGCTCAATCCCAGGACCCTGGGATCATGATCTGAGCTGAAGGCAGATACTTAACCAACTGAGCCACCTAGGCACTCCCAGAAATTTTTTCTTTTGCAGTGTTTTTCTGGTTCTACTTGAATTTGTTTTTTCATATGATCTTTAGGATCAGTTCATCTAGCTTTAGGGAAAGAAGGTTGATATTTTTATTCCATTTTTATTAAATTTTATATGAGCTGTATGGTGTTGGATTGTCCTATCCAGGAATGAAATACCTTTCTTTTCGTCCAAGTCTAGTTGTCTTTGTTTCAGGAGTGTTTTAAAGTTTTCCTCACATAGGATTTACACATTTTCTTAAAGGTTTATTCCTGGGCATTTCATCTTTTTTTGGCTACTATGGTGAGGTGGGTCTTCTCTTCCATTGTATCATCTGAGTGGATATTGTTTGTGTACATGAAGGCTATTGATTTTTGTGTTAATGTGAATTATTTTCTTCTGTGTAGTGATTTTTAATTGATTTTCTTGGGTTTTTAGGTGTCTCTCAGATTTGGAAAATTAAGATACTTTTAACCTTTTCCTTTTCAGTTTGTTTTCCTATAAATATTTTTCTTTGTCTAATTACTTTTGCTAGTACCTCCAAATCAGTAACAAATAATAATGAATATAGCAGGCATCCTTGTCTCTTTCTGACTTTAGAGCAGTCTCTAGTGATTTTTCTTTAAGTAAAATGCTGGATTTGTGGGTGGATTGTATATATATTTTATCATGTTAAGTATCTGTCAATTCATTACTTTTTTTTAATCCAGAAAAGGTATTAAATTTTGTTGAAATGCCTTTTAAGCATCAATGGAAATGGTCATATAATATTCTTCTTTAGTAAATATCTGGTATTTGAGTAAATTAAATCAATGGATTTCCTAGTATTGAGTCATCCTTAATTTCTGGAACAAATCCCACTTGGTTGTGATGTATTATTTGTTAATGTACTATAGAATACCATTTGTTCATATTGTATTTAGATTTAAGTTTATCTGGCCTCAAGAGTCTGAAAGCCACTATGGTCTTTTTAGAAGCTTGTTCTGTACCATTTGTTCAGCTGTCTCTCACAGGATTTTCGGTGTCATTGAGTATAACAAGTTACGAAGTAGTACCTACAAGTCTGGTACCTAAGGACTTGATGCTGATTTAATGTGGATGATTTCTGTCCTTCATCAAACCAGGACTCTAGTTCCTTCCTTAACTTCTGTATATGTCACAGTTTGAAGACCACTCATTCTTCCTGAAACACTGGAATGCAGACTAGGAGTTGAGTAACTATATCTTCCTCTGTCAGGTGGTGCTTTTATCCTTGTCTCTTCAAGCACTAGGCCATAATTATTTGTTGTTGCCAACTCCAAAAACCCTTAGATTTTAAAACCTACCATGTTCAATACAATAACTCAAGCTAAATCCTGACTCGTATTCCTGTCACAAGTCACATAAATTTGGAAAAAAAGAAATTCTACTTCTGTTCAGGTGATACAATATTCCTCTCTTTTCTATGTCTCTGTTAAAGTGGTGCAGGTTCTATCTTAATATATTCCAGAGGATAAAGTGTATTCTCAATTCTTCTCAATTGTGTCTTTTTTAATCCTTTCTTTTAGTATTTTTCCTTATTCTTTTAGTATGGAAATGTATTGAATATTTATTGGTATGTTTTCCAGACTTTAAAAAATATTTTTTGTTAATTTTAAAAGGTTTTCCTCTTGCTCTAATAATTTCTCCATTATTATATCTTTCATTGTTATTATACTTGTAAAATAATATATATGTATCATATTTGTAATGGTGCATTTTGCTCATCCCCTACTCCTCTCCTTTCTGGATGAAGGGGAGGGGGAGATGCAGTCTTCCAGTTATGGAATGAATAAGTCACAGGGATGAAAGGTACAGCATAGGGAAGAGAGTCAGTGTAGGAATGTTGTATGGTGACAGATGGTAACTATGCTGTGACCTCAGCATAGTGTATAGAGCTGTTGAATCTCAATGTTGCACACCTGAAACAAATGTAACGTTGCATGTTGATTATATTTCAATTTAAAAAAATTTCTTAGAGGTTTTTAGAACTTCTAGGAGTTTTACTTGTTTAAAATTTTACTAGTTTTAAATGCAGCTTTTAAAAACCTGGTTAAGAGTCAAATGGACTGGGACACCTGGGCGGCTCAGCAGTTGAGCATCTGCTTTCGCCTCAGGGCATGATCCCAGTTCCCAGGATGGAGTCCGGCATTGGGTTCTCTGTGGGGAGCCTGCTTCTCCCTCTGTCTGTGTATCTACTTCTTTCTGTCTCTCGTGAATGAATAGAGAAATAAAATCTAAAAAAAAAAAAAAAAAAAAAAAAAGAATCAAATGGACTAGAATAGAACTATTTTAGGATTGAAATAAATGCATTTGAATAGTCTGTGGAAAAACAATAACGTGTACAGTTCAGAAATTTTAAGTATATTCAGGAATTATGCAATCATACCACAATCAATTTTAGAATATTTTCAGCAACCTGAAAAAAACACCCTATATATAAATGGTTGCTCCCCCGTTTTCCTCTCTGGCCTTAGGCAGTCACCATCCTATTTTCTGTCCCTATAGATTTGCCAACATCATATAATATATGGTATTTTGTGGCCAGTTTCCTTCACTCAGCATTATATGTTTTCAGGATTCATCTATATTGTAGCATGTTTCAATACCTCATTCCTTTTTATGGTTGAATAATATTCCGTTGAATGGATATGCCACATTTTGTTTACCTACTAATCAGCTGGTAGACATACGGGTTTTGTCTCCTTTTTGCAATTGTGAATAATGCCACTATTAAGAATCATGTACAAGTTTTTATGTGAACGTATGTTTTCATTTTCTTGTGTATTCATCTAGGAGTGGAATTTCTGGGTCATATGGTATATTAATGGATCATAAAGACAAGAGTTGAAGTTGCAGTCTGGAGTCTGAAATCTGTAGGATGGCTGGCAGACTAGAAACACACTCACCCAGATTTCTATTAAAATCTCGAGGTAGAATCCATTCTCCAGGAAACCTTAGTTTTGCTTTTAAGGCCTTCACCTGAGGTCCTTCTACGTTATTGAGGATAATCCCCTTTACTTAAAGTCAACTGATTTTAAAGGTTAGTCACATCTACAGAGTATTTTCACAGCAACATTTAGACTAGGGTTTGACCAGAAAACTGGGTACCATAGCCTAACCGAGTTAACTAATAAAATTAACCATCACATATATCAGCCTTTTTAGGAACTGCTAGGCTATTTGCAAAAACATTTAGATTCTCACCAGCAATGTGTGAAGATTCTTATTTCTCTATACCCTCACCAACTTGTCGTTATCTGTCTTTTTTTTATGATAGCCATACTGGTGGGAGGTGGTGTCTTATTGTGGAGATGGATTTCATTCATTTTCACTGTAGTATGATACTCTTAGGTATTTTTTTTTAAGATTTTATTTATTTATTCATGAGAGACACAGAAAGAAAGGCAAAGACACAGGCAGAGGGAGAAGCAGCTTCCTGCAGGGAGCCTGATGCGGGACTCAGTCCTGGAATCTGGGATGATGACCTGAGCCAAAGGCTAATGCTTAACCACTGAGCCACACAGGTGTCCCATATATTCTCATGTGTTAATGTACCCCAATTTATTGGTTCTTTGTTCTGTTGATGGATAATTTAGTTGTTTCCAATTTTTTGCTTTTTTTAAGTAGAATATTCTTGTGCACGTGTACAAGAGTTACTCTAAAGAATATGTATTCCTGGGATCCCTGGGTGGCGCAGCGGTTTGGCGCCTGCCTTTGGCCCGGGGCGCGATCCTGGAGACCCGGGATCGAATCCCACGTCGGGCTCCCGGTGTATGGAGCCTGCTTCTCCCTCTGCCTGTGTCTCTGCCTCTCTCTCTCTCACTGTGTGCCTATCATAAAATAAAATTTAAAAAAAAAATTTAAAAAAAAATTAAAAAAAAAAAGAATATGTATTCCTCTAGGAGTAGAATTGCTGGTCTATAGGTATACAGTACTCAAGCTTACAAGATAATGCTAATGTGTTTTCCAAATGGCATACCAGTTTGCACTTCCACCATCAGTGAGTCTGTCAATGCACATTTTTCTGCTACTTGGAATTATCATACTCTTTTTGCCAATTTCATCAGTTTCTTGATTGCATTTCCCTGATTATTAGTGAGGTTAAGCATATTTTCATGTTTATTAGTCATGTGATTGCTCTCTTTTTGAAATGCATGTCTTCATGTCTTTTGGCCATTTAAAAAAACTGGACAGTGTGTCATATTAATATATGTAGATCCTTTATATATACTGGATATTAACCTTGTATCAATTTTATGTGTTACAGATATCTGGTTTGGTTTTTTCCTTTTGTTGCCTTTTGAACAGAAATTGTTCATTTTATTTTCTTATTATTTTTTTAAAGATTTTATTTATTCATGAGAGACACAGAGAGAGACAGAGACAGGCAGAGGGAGGAGCAGGTTCCATGCAGGGAGGCTGACATGGGACTCAATCCTGGGATTCCAGGATCACGCCCTGGGCTGAGGGCAGGCACTAAACCGCTGAGCCACCCAAGGATCCCCCAAAATTGTTCATTTTAATGTAATTAATCATTAATGCTCTAGTTTATGCTTATTTTATCTTTAAAGAACCATATTTGGATTTTTAGCCATTTCATTCTTGTGACCAGGCATGTTTATTGTAATTTTTCTTCCATTCCTCAGTTATCAAATCCAATAGGTATAATTCCTCCCTATATAGTGCTTTTAAATAAAATTTTAAACACGTCAACAAATGGAAAAGATTGGAAAAAACATCACAAGGTAGCTCCTACTTAAGGCCTGTGTCTCATAGACAGGGTAATACTTAAACTTGGTTGGTATAGTATTCTATAACTCTTCTAGATGGCAGGTGTTAATGAATACGTAAAAGTTGTGGTCTTCCAACAACATATTCATTCCTTCTATAACAAAGTTTATATTAATAAAAGAACAGGATACACAATTAATAGAGACACTACTCCATTTTAAGCCATGAGATGGATACAAATGAAAAAAACCTATTTTTTTAATCTTGACTCAGGAAGAGGACCACCAAACCCGGGTGGAAGAGGCAATCACACGCATGCTTGTGTGTGCCTTGAAAACTGCAGAGGACCCACACAATACCAGAGCTTGGTTAAACCCAACTGAGGTAGGCCACTTCTGGTGTTCATGGCAGTTAGTTTCCTGTGATAAATCAACCCTGGCTAGGACATTTATTTTTGAATTTATGTAAATGCATATATCCATTCTAAAGAGTTTGTTTTTCCCACAGGTTGAGGAAACATCCCATGAAGTCAATTGCTGCTACTTAAATAGAGCCGTTTCTGCCCTTTTTGATTACAGAACATCTAAGGTAGTAGAAATCCAAGCACTGAGAACAAATAGAGATAACATGAAAAAGGAAGGATTAAATGTGCACCATCACATGGAGATGGAACAAATAGATGACCAGGACTTACTCTTGGGAACCATAAAACAGGAGGCAGCAAGTCCCTTTGGCCCTGATCTGGTTCCTGTAATACTGAGTTCTGAAGAACTACCATCAGAGAGAAGAGGTATATTTGAAGGTGATGGTAAAGACTTTGTTGGCAAAGATGGAGAACACCCTGGAAAATTGCACTGCACCAAGAGGCAACGGATGATGAGTAAAAATGAGGATGTAGTTGCGGAACAAATTGCTTCAGATAGTAGTATGGCTCCTTCTCAGACATTCATTTCTACAGATGACTTGTTGGACTGCTTAGTGAATCCACAAGTAACCAGTATAGTGGCCCAACTTCTGATAAAAGGAAGAAGTTTGTGGTCCTAAGGAAATGACTTTTAAAATAATACCTTAAAACTATTTTTAAAAATAATAGATTTTTAAATAAAAGATAGAAAAGCAAAAAGTTAATTTGCACATGCTTGTAAATGCACTTGTTCTTACCTTAATTGTGTTTCAGTCTCTTGCCACCTTCATTCATAAACATTGCTCTTTGGCCGGGCTGGCTCTTTGTTAGTTGTTCTTCAGTGCCTTTGCCTTTCCTCTCCCATCCCATCCTTTTAGCCTATCTCAAATGCAAGCCCTAGGTGTTCTCAACAGAAAGTTATCTCTTCAGCAGTCTCAAGCAGAGGTCGGCCTACTGCTTGTTTTTGTAAATAAAGTTTTATTGGAGCACAGCCATGCCATTCATTTACATATCGTCTATGGCAGCTTTAGAGTAACAGTGTCAGAGTTGAGCAGTGACTAAGACGGTGTGGCCTGCCACGCTGAAAATACTGTCTCCTTACAGAGAAAGTTTGCCATCCCCTGGCCTAGTGCATCCATTGGGTGGATTCTAGCCTTGATCTGAAGTGATCATACTTAATGACACCTGCAGAATTCTCACTGGCTAAATCCTGTCATCCAGAGCAGGATACCAATCAGGAAAAAAAGTAGCTGGGGGTCCAATATAAGGCCTTCTTATGGAAGGAACTGGGACATCTAGGAACACTACTCCTGGGGATGAAAAGCACCAATGTTACTCCTGCAACTAAAAATTTGATCTAGTGAAACTGAGCCTACTCTCAATATATTTGCAACAAGATCTGGGAGTGTTTATTACCATTACTGTCTAAGTAAGAATTTAGAAATTAAAAAAGCATATGGATCCCTGAGTAACCATTTGTGAAACAAATATAAACAGGTAAGGTAAGCAAAGTAATCTTTTAGGATGAATTGACAACTGGCTCCATCCTTCTCAGTCTTCAGACTTAAGGTATCAGTACATCCAAAGAAAGTCTATGCCTTCTAGCAGCGAGGGAGGTGTTACATGAATATGCCCAGGAAAAGAAAGGTCTGGAAGAAACTTGTCTGTAGTACTTACTGCTAAGTGACTACTATATCCCTGTTTATTTAATTTACCTATTTATTTGATTATTATTTATCTCCCCCAACTAGAATGTCACTCCATGGGGGTTGGACTTTGTTTTGATTATTGTATTCGCAGAGCTTTGATCAGACTGACCAGCATATGGTAGTGGCTTGTTAAATATTTCACTGAATGGATTATAAAAAGAAGAGCTTGTTGGCAACACTCCGTCAAATACATTTGGGTAGAGGATGTTGTGGCCAAGGATAAGATCTCTGTTCCCCTTAGTAGATAGATCCTTATTGCAGAAATAGACATCTCTTTTTCTTCAGATATTTTATTTTTTAAGGTTGCTCTTCCTTTATTATTTTTCAAATTGCAGGTTGTGATCCATTAGTTAAGTCATAAAATCAATATAGTGGGTAAGACCAGCATTTTTTTAAGTGAAATAGAATAGATGATTTCAGTAAATTCATTAGTAAATGTATTATTTCATGAAAATTTCCAGGAAAAGTGTTCTTTTTTTTTTTCAGGAGAAGTATATTTCATAAAACTTTTCAGTTATATCTGTGTGTGTGCTGGGCCTGATATAAATGTGTGTTGTTTTTTTTTAAGATTTTTATTTATTTATTCATGGGAGATACAGAGAGGCAGAGACACAGGCAGAGGGAGAAGCAGGCTCCACGCAGGGAGCCTGACGTGGGACTTGATCCCGGGTCCCCAGGATCACGTCCTGGGCCGAAGGCAGTGCTAAACTGCTGAGCCACCAGGGCTGCCCTATAAATGTGTTTCTTCATGTCCTCATATAGGTTGGGGTCAGAAAAGTTTGAAAGATATTCTGAAACAAAGCATTTAATTCAGTTAGAGGTAACAGTCTGACATGCAGAGACCCAAAGGGAGTTAAGACATTGATATGAATGGATTTCTAAGGTTGAGTGGGTGATGGGAGATAAATTTCCTAATTTTATCAAGATGGAGACCTTGGCTTCTGTGAAGGGGAGTATGGCAGTGAGGAGAGAGACTAAAAGGGGGAGACAGGCACTCGGAGCTGGATCCCATTTCATCCTGTATTTCTCAGATAAGTATGCCTGAGTGAGTGAAACTATTAGATAAATACATTAACCCTGCAGAGGCCTGAGGCATTAAAAACTACAGGCTCATTCTCCCCTGTTCTCAGGACTGGGCCACCTCTGTGTAGGGCAGTGTGTTCCAGCTCGGCTCACACTGAGAATGTAAGAATTAAAAACAAAATTTCTATTAAGAATATGGCTCAGCATCACACCTAAGTATCAGCAAGGCTGACCTGTCCAGTTGGCAGTGCTTAGGTCCATGAGTCTTTAGGGGTCCCCAAAATGTTTTAGTTTCTTTGGAAAAAAAAACCAAACATATTATACTCCAGCTTTCATTGCATTCATGTTTATATCAATGCAGTTGTAAAACGTAATTGCTCATACTTCTTACTTTTTATGGAGTCAGGGGCCCATGATGGCAAAAGTCCCTGGAACCATGAAAGTCCTACACGATTCTGAGTATCAGGACAGCAGAATCATTTGAAGTGCTTGCTGAAAATGCAGATTTCTGGGTACCTCTGTAGAGCTATAGAACATGACTCCTTTGGGATGGGCCAGAACTTGCTAGCTCAGCAAACACCTCAAGTGATTCAAATATCCAAAGTGTTTAAGAATCTCTGGCCCTAGTGGATACCCCCTAAACCCATCACAGTCTCCAAGTGGGCTTGGTTGAGCAGAGGCTTCTTGTTGGAGTCAACTTGCCCTTCAGCAGTACTGAACTAAACCTGTACTGTGCCCTTGCTGTAATTTTCAGCTCAATATTATTAACACTTTAAGGACCCCTTGATGCTCTCATATTTAGTTGTCTTTCTTTTCAGCAGTGACCTGTATTTATCATCAAGCTCTCTTGTATCCATCCTTTTTTCTTTTAAATGATTTTATTTATCTGACAGAGTGAGCACAAGCAGGGGGAGCAGGAGAGGGAGAAGCAGGCTCCTCACAAAGCAGGGAGCCTGACACGGGGCTCGATCCCAGGAACCCAAGACCACGACCCAAGCCGAAGGCAGACACCCAACCAACTGAGCCACTCAGGTGCCCCTGTATCCACCCTTAAGGATAAAGAGGTTTACCACCAAATGTATTTTTCAAGTACTTTATTCAAAAAGGAGGTAAAAGATATAAATTTCCTTAGATTGCGGATAACTATAAGGTTTACTGATGGGATCATTATACTTTGGTACAATACACCCTGATATTCAAATTTGCCCTGAGTTAACACTGGAGAACAAGAGCAAATCTGAGAGCAAGTCTATCCTTTTCCTTTCTTTCTTTTTTTAAAATATTTTTATTTATTTATTAATGAGAGACAGAGAGAGGCAGAGACACAGGCAGAGGGAGAAGCAGGCTCCATGCAGGGAGCCCAATACTGGACTTGATCCCAGGACCCCGGGATCACGACCTGAGCCAAAGGCAGATGCTCAACCCCTGAGCCCCTCAGGTGCCCCTTTCCCTTTTATTTCTTAACATCCATTGTCGAGGCTGAGCTCAGAGGCCAATGGCCGGGAAGCCACTCCTAAGCAGTCTTTGCCAGTCCACTTAAAAAACAAACAGCAGCAGTGGTGCCTGGGTGGCTCAGTCAGTTAAGCATCTGACTCTTGATTTCGGTTCAGGTCATGATCTTGGGGTGGTGGTATCAAGCCCTAATGTCAGGCTCTGCACTCAGCAGAGGGTCTGCTTGAGATTCTCTCCCTCTCCCTTCTCTCCCTCTCTCTCGCTCTCCAAATAAGTAAATACATCTTAAAAAAAAAAAAGCAAGACAAATTCCAAGATACCTGTCCGTTAATTAAGCAGAACTGGCCCCCTCAACTTGCTGTACTTGAAGTGAGTTCATAATAGCCACGGAAGAGTGCCTTTAACCTCCTAGCAATACCACCTTGTCTGAGGGCACCATCTGCGCTAGGCATCAGCTCTAGCCTCTTGGCCTACAGAGAGCTTCAAATGAAGAGATTATAATGGAAGCCAAAGCCAGAAGGAAAAAGCCAAGGAAATATGAGGGTGACTCATAGATTACCAGAGATGTTCCTGAAATGGTAACATTAACCAAGAGGCCATGCTCTGTAGTGGGAAGAGCTTGGTGCTACAGGAACCAGGATTGTGGCTCAGTCTCTGAGGACTACTACTACCTAGGTGACCTCAGGCAAGGAAGCTTCTTGCACTCTGAGCATCAGTTTCCTCAACTTTAAAATGGAGATATAATTCTTACCTGATGGGATTATTTGAGGGAATAAAATGAATATATGAAAGCACCTATTATATTACCTGGTACTCAATAAATAATACCTGAATCTGAAATTTACCTGGGGAAAATTTTTTCAAAATCCAGCACTTGACTATCTAATAGATACTGAGCTAGCAAATTAGCAATATGACTGCTCAATTCCTTTGGTTTACTTATGCACACGTCTTTAAAATCAAAAGCTAGACTGCCGGAGAAAATAGGCTCTTTAGTAACATTAGAATTTAGTTAATCTTAATATAATAGAAGGGCTTCACACTGAAAGTATGGCAGGCTTATCCCACGGTTGTCACTGGGCAGAACTAAGACCAGCAAAAGTTAGATGAAGGCAGATTTGGGGTTAATATAAAAAAGGATCTGCCAGGACTGCTGTGCTGCACAGAGCCAGTGGGATCCAGTTCCCTTGGACCACACACTAGACCACAGCCCCTGACCTGTGCAAGGCACAGAACCCCAACTGGACCTGTCCCACAGGTCATGGTTCAGTTCGTGAAGAATGGAGTTCCCCATCACGGAATCTGTTCGATTTAAGGCAAAGTGACAAGTCAAGGATGTCAAAGAGATGGCCTCTACTCTGGGTTGGTGTCTAACTAGGCTTTTTCCTTCTTAGTTGGTTTATGAAATGTTTCTGGAGCATCTGTTTACATCAGGCACAGACCTCAGGCCAGGGACCAAAAAAAAAAAAAAAGAGTTAGACACCATCCCTGCCCCCATGGAAGTCAGCCATCCTATCCACTCAGTAATCCTGTGCCCCTCACAGGAATATGGCTTCCTGATGTGATACCAGCTGTCCCCAGCAGCAGCTGACATTGCCTAGCTGTGCCCTCTATCTTTAAGGTGAGCTTTCTTTTCTCTTCCCGAAAATACAAACCTGTTCTTTCCTTCTTCAGATTTGATGTCCACAGTTGTAGACACACAGTTGTAACTAAGTTATCTGAGTTAAATTCTCAAATTTATTGCTCTTAAGATAGGTTCATTCCAATGATGGAGAAGCTGAAGAAAGTCTGTTTCAGTGACAAGGATCCCTTGATCTTAGAAAAAGCTGTAAGGGGGGGGGGGAATCTAAGACTTGTTTTACAACTCCATATGTATAGATGAGCAAGGTCTTCTGGGAAGGACACCAAAAACGTTAATAGGTAAAAGTAATGAGGTACTCTGGGTAAGCCTGGTAGTCATAAAATACCACAAATAAACCGGGATTTTGAACACAATCCGTGACAGTGTCATACAGGTCAGTAGGGTTATCAGCACTCTTTGGAGGAGGCACAATTAGTGACTGATTTCCACGTGTGTAGGTTCCAGTAAGTACTCTCACGTAATACATATGCTTTTTCCCATTTCTGTCCGGTCTGGAGTAGGTATCATTAGCAGAATAACGGGCATTGACAGCAAAATAGGTTCCCTTTCCATACGCCACAGCTGTGAAGAGAAAAACAAAACATTTTTAAGAAGTTCAATTTAGGGGGTGCCTGGGTGGCTCAGTCGGTGAAGTGTCTGCCTTCGGCTCAGGTCATGAATCCAGGGTCCTGGGATCGAGCCCCACACTGGGCTCCCTGCTTAGTGGGGCACCTGCTTCTCCCTCTCCTGCTCCCCTTGGTCGTGTTCATTCTCTCTCTCTCTCTCTCTCTCTCTCTCTCTCTCTCTCTCTCTCTCTCTCTCTCTCTTTCTGTCAAATGAATAATTAAATCTTAAAAAAAAAAGTTCAGTTTAGTCTATAATCTGATGAGTTGACCCAATATGTCAAATAATGTTAAAACAATGTTCAGTTCTTCTCTCCAAAACATCTTTAAAAATATTTTTCATGTGTTTTTAATTTTTAAAAATCATTCCTCCACCCCAGAGGGCCAATCAGTCCTTCTGCGATGAAATATAATGAGACCTACACTGAAACTCTGGCTGCAGCATGGCCACCAACAAACCATGAGAGAACACAATGCAATCAATCCACACTGTCCCTCACCAGTTTGGGTTCTCATGACTGACACCCCATTTGGAGCAGCTGGATCCCTTGCTTCCTTACCGTTCTTTCCGGCATAACTGCGGTTAAAGCCATTGTGGTTGACATGTGGTACCGAGTCAGCATCTGTCCCATGGAAGAGCTGCTTCTCATTGTTTTTATGCCCATTCTTGGCATCCATGGCTTTCTTCTTTGTTTGGTAGCTATTCCAGAGATGTGGATTCTGGATCCTCTCAATCTGCAAATCAACAAGGGGAAATATTCCGTTGGTCCAAGAGCCTTTGGCAAGACACAGATAGGACCATTATTTTTCACAAATAAAAAGTAAACAACAAATTCAATGCCAGGTGTCACCTTTCTGCATTCAGAAATCTTTTTAGATCCAGTATTTCACAAAAACAGACCTTGGAAAGACGGTTAATTTCATTTTTAACAATCTTAGCGTATCTGTAATTATGGTGACGAGTAGAATCTACAATCTAGAATCCGATTACCATAAAATATTCTAATTCTGTGCAAAAAAAAAAGTGTTGGAAAACGAATGAAAATGTATCTATCCAGGACCATGATATAACTTATTTCCACCATTAAGAGACGCCATGTCAGCAGAAGGCTTACCTTCTCTATGTAGAGGTGTGAGCAGGTCTGATTAAACTTGGTTGCCACTGTGTCATATTCTGCATGACCAGGCTGTAGCTCAACCACACAGACATCCTGCTGCTTCATATCACTCCAGTGCTCAGGGATCACCACTGCAAGGAGGACATTTGAGGACCACACACCTGGGAAGGCCCACCTGCACATTCCTGGTATGCACTGAAGAACTGAGTATCATCTGTGTTCCTACTTTACAATCTCCTAACTCGACGTGTCCAAGAAGTTCCCTATCTTTCTAGGGGAATGTTTTTCCAAGTGCGCCCCACAGACAACCTACATTAGAACCAACTATAGTGCTTGTTAAGAGAAAAAAACCCCAAAGATCTACTGACTCTCTGAGGGGTGGAGCTTGTGTACCTGCATCTTAATTAAGTTTGATCATGCTCAGAATTAAGAATCGTTGGTGTAGTATGACACAGCTGCATATTCTGTTCAGCCTCTAATCTGTCATAATTTAATAATTTAACAATAAATCATTTCCCTACAATGGTCTTGTTACCAACAGTGTGGGTTTTTGCAAGAACTCCTCACTATCACAAGGCCCTCCATCCATTCCTTCATTATTGTTCCCTGCATCCTTAAGAGTTGGGTGGAGGGCAGGTTTTGCTCAGAGGCAGGTGGTGGTGGTAGCTCTCTTTTTCCTCTGCTAAACAGAATATTATACTTGATTTGTCATTTCCCTAGGGTTGCTCAGAGTCTGAGGAATTCATTCATACTCATCTCACAAGAGATGACGATAATGTACAGAAAGTCAATTTACTAGTGTCGGTGGAGGACTTGTGTGGTTCAAAAGCAGGAATGGCCCTCCACACAACACAAGCACCCCCTTCGTGGGGAGCAGATCCAGTCAGAGAATTTGAAGGCTGCTTCCTGATGCGTACATTAAGGAAACCTTATGGTTAGGGCAGGAGAGGGAGTGAATTCTGAGAGAAGATCCTACAGGCTCCCAATCCTCCCTGGGTTATCAGTCACAGGCACAGAGAGGGCCCACACTGACCAGACTGTCTTCTTTTGTTCTAGAAAACCTTGGGCCACCTTTCTTTAAAGCCCTTGGCTTTTCCTCTCCTGCCTGCAACAGCCATTACCTCCACAGCTCCATTACCCACACACTCTGGGAAGCCTATAAACTGTAGAGATGGAAACAAACGCAAGGTTTGGGTCTTGTTACCATGAAGATGGTCATCCTCAGACTGTTGAATGCACCCATGCTACATTTCCCCAGTCATAAGCCATAAGGTAAGCTCCTTAAGCTTAGAGACCAAGTTTATTTCATTCCATAAGAGTTGCTTGAATTTTCTCTACTTGATTACAATTTTGATGTATGTATAGTGTTAAGTCCAAAGAAGGTGTGCAATAATGGATAACGAGCACATGATCTGACTCACCTTCAGATTTCATAAAGCGCTTAACAGGTAAATGGTGTCCTTTTGCATCTGTAGCAACGTTTGTGACGAGGTCCACTGTGTAGCTCTTATGATTAACTTTTACAAGAGTTGTCCTTTTCTTTGCCTTCCTTGCATTCTCCAATTGCAGATTAGTTATTTTGTCAAAACTATGAAAAGTGCCATTGTTGTAATATTGCCATTCTATAAATTCACTGATAAAATCTGCCTGGGATTTCTGTTCTTTGGCCAATCTAATTCCCTTGATCATTTCCTCAATTGCATTTCTAGCCTGTGTCAAATCGTTGCCAGTTCCAAAAACCTCAATCAAAGGTCTTTCACGGTCCAAACAAATGGCAATATTTAATTTCTCCTGCAGCTCATTCAATTTGTGATATTCTTTTTCATTAAAGTCTTTGATACACTCATCTTCATTGGTGTAAGGACTCAGTTCCTTTGTAATCAGATCCTGTATCCAGGAGAGAGCATTTTTCATACATTTTACATTTTCACCACACACCTGAAAACTTGCTGATTCTGTTTTCTTTTTCAAAACCAAAGGATTCTGCTTTTGTGGAGACTGACTTGGGGAACTCACAGATGCTAAAACAGAAAAGAAAGGAAGATTAGCTACTTCTCTCTCTTTTTGTCACCATGCTGTACATTACACCTCCAGGAATTAAGTATCTTATAACTGGAAGTTTGTACCTTTTGACCACCTTTTCACCTCTCTTCACCTCCCAACACCAACCCGTGCTTCCTCTGGCAACCACCAATCTGTTCTCTGGATCTATGAGTTTGTTTTTTAGATTCCACATATAAATGAGATCAAACAGTATTTGTCTTTCTCTGTCTTATTTAATTTAGCATAATACCTACTAGGTCCATTAATTTTATCACAAATGGCTGAATTTCCTTCTTTTTTATGGCTGAATAATATTCCATTGTGTGCGCATATGTGTGTAATACACATGTACATATTATATGTGTGTTGTGTATGTGTGTATATATATATATACAATATATTGTTCTATATATATATTTATATATACTATATATATATAAAATATATCATTTATCCATTCATTTGTTGGTGGACACATAGGTTTTTCCATGTCTTAGTTTTGTAAATACCATTACAACGAATAATGGGGGTGCAGATATCTTTTATTATTATCTTAAGATAAATACCCAGAAATGGAACTTCTGGATGATATGGTAGTTCTGATTTTTTGAGGAACCTCCATACTGTTTTCAACAGTGGCTGAACCAGTTTGCATTCCCACAAACAGTGCATGAGGGTACCTTTTCCCCATATCCTCACCAACACTTGTTATTTCTTGTCTTTTAGATATTAGCCATTCTATCAGGTGGGGTGATATCTCTTTATGTTTCCCCGATGATTAGTGATGTTGAGCACTTTTTATGTGTCTATTGGCCATCTGTATGTCTTCCTTAGAAAAATATCTATTCATATCCTCTGCCCATTTTAAAATCAGATTGTTTTCTCTGATTGAGTTGTGTGAGTTCTTCATATATTAACCCTTTTGTATACTAACCCCTATCAGATATATTATTTACAAATATTTTCTCCCATCCTATAGGCTGCCTTTTCATTTTATTGATAGTCGTCTTTGCCATGCAGAAGCTTTTTGGTTTGAGGTAGTTTGCTATTTGTGCTTTGGTGTCAAATCCAAAAACAAAATCACTGCCAAGATTGACATCTAGGACTTACTCCCCATGTTTTCTTCTAGGAGTATTATGGTTTCAGATCTTTAATCCATTTTGAGTGGATTTTTATGTATGGTATAAGATAGTAATCCTGTTTCATTCTTTTGCAAAAAACTGGCTGTCCAGTTTTCCCAGCACTATTTATTTTAGTTTATGTGCTGCTGAAGCAAGCATCCAAACACTATTTATAGAAGAAACTATCCTTTCCCCATTGTATATTCTTCACTCCTTTGTTGTAAATTAATTGACCACACCAATGGTCCCCAACTTACAATGGTTCAACTTAGGATTTTTTCAACTTTATGATAGTATGAAAATGATACACTTTGAATTTTGATCTTTTCCTAAGCTAGTAATGACTCTCTTGTCATGCTTGACAGGGACAGCAAGCTGCAAATCCCAATCAGGCAGGAAATCATGAGGGTAAACAACCAATATCCTTATAACTATTCTGTACCCGTAAAGACATTCTGTTTTCACTTTCATTACAGTGTTCAATAAATTATATGAAATAATCAGTACTTTATTATAAAATAGGCTTTGTGTTAGATGAGTTCATCCAACCATAAGCTAATGTGTTTTGAGCATGTCTAAGGTAGGTTAGGCTAAACTATGATGTCCAGTGGGTTAGATATGTTAAATCTATGTTTTTTACTTACAAAATTTTCAACTTATAGTGGCTTTATCAGGATGTAACCCCATTGTAGGTGAAGGAAGACCTGTACATTCATGGATTTATTTCTGGGCTATTTTGTCCCGTTAATCTATTTGTTTTTATGCCAATACCATACTGTTTTGATTACTATAGCTTCGTAATGTAGTTTGAAACCAAGAAGGGTGATGCCTTCAGCTTTGTTCTTCTTTCTCAAGATTGCTTTGAATATTAGGGGTCTTTTGTGGGTCCATACAAATGTAAGATTCTTTGATCCATTTCTGTGAAAAATGACATTGGGATTTCGATAGGGATTGCACCGAATCTGTAGATTGCTTTGGGTAGCATGGACATTTTAACAATATTAATTCTTCCAACCTATAAGCATGGTAAATTTTTTCATTTGTGCTATCTTCAATTTCATAGAAATTTCATAGCTTTCAGAGTACAGGTCTTTTACCTTCTTGGTTAAATTAATTCCTAGGTATTTCATTCTTTTGGGATAATTGTAAAAGGGATTGTTTTCTTAATTTCTCTTTCTGATGGTTTGCTAAAGATTAGCTATTTCTCATGTGACATCAGTATCAGGAACATGCATTTCATAAAAATGGTCAACTCACATTTTAATTTAGACTCCAGAGACTGTTGGGGAGAAGACTGAGATGCTTCTCTTTTTTTCATGCTGTCATAAAACACGTCCAGTAGATGAGGCAGAAAGATGACAACTTTAACTTTTTTCACAGACTTGAGCATTCCTTTCTGTATAAAGTCTTCAATGGCATCAATTATGGCATCAGCAACCTTATCTGGGTCTTTTTGGGCATTTCCTGGAAAGGCAGATAATAAAACTGGGGGCTGGGGAGAAGATCCAACTGGGAAGGCTGAGAAATAATTTGGTGATTCCGGCCCTCGCAGAATGAATGCCCACTGCCCAAGTATTTCATCATGGGCTTTTCTAGCAATGTATGAGCAAACACTTTTGAGGTCCTAGAAGCACGGGGGAGTTTCTCTTCCATTATGTCAGGAAGCCAATAGCCCAACAACGAACAAAGGATCCAGAAATCTAACTTTTGGTATCAGCTGCTCATATCTGCTCTGCCAAGTTGCCTTAGCTCACTGTGTTCCTCTGTGTTACAAAGCGCAATTAACCTTTTTGGGCTCATTAATGTCCTCAAAAGGTCCATAAAAAGCAAAAGATGCTAATATATGTTGAAATATCATGCTCTTTAAAAAGATATTTTTTCTTTTTTGTTCAGTCACCTGACTATATTCATGTATCCTTATTCTTCCAGATGTCTTTGGGGACCCAATTCCAGCTAAGCTAATTTTGTAAGATACTTGGAGCTGTTAGCTATCTGCTATAATCTATAATAATTTGCACATAAGTTATCCATAAGCATCTAGGAAGTCTTTTCCAGCTAGTCAGTGAGATTTTAGCTGATTTGCTGGGTTCAAGGTGGCCACCTGAACAAGTCTTTTTCTTTTTCCAGCGTATTCCATATCTTGTTTCTCAAGCTTACTGTCTAGGTAAGACCAGGAAAAGTCCCATGAAAAGCCATGGAAGCAGTCACATACAAATTTTTCCTCTCATTTAAACCACCCACAGTTTTGCTTACTCCCTTAGGGGCTGCCTTGGGGTGAGGAGCCACCCTTACCGAGACTCTGCGTTAACTATATTAACAGTCAGCACCAGAGCAAAGGAAAGGTGGACACCTCGACATCCAGAGATTACAAACCTGTCCCAATGGCTGGGAGGCAAATGGATGAGTAATTCCGTTTTTCACACTCTTGCAAAACAAAGGAGATGGATTTCTTGACATCATTTCCACCAATGACGTGAATGATATTCTTGCATTTCAATAATCCACCTTCTGTAACTATATAATCACTGTTGCCCTTTTGAGCTGGGAAACATAAGACAGAGATGCAAAATTAGATACAGAACCCACTCTTTGGGTGTTTAGAAAAAGCAAAATGTTTGGTTTGACACATAAAGCATTTTATGTGAAAAAAGACTCCTAACTATGGTCTTTGAGGAATATTTCTTCTATTTTTAAGTGTGAAATTACTTTTTCACTTCTAATTGTCTATGATTAGGGATCCCTGGGTGGCGCAGCGGTTTGGCGCCTGCCTTTGGCCCAGGGCACGATCCTGGAGACCCGGGATCGAGTCCCACGTCGGGCTCCCGGTGCATGGAGCCTGCTTCTCCCTCTGCCTGTGTCTCTGCCTCTCTCTCTCTCTCTCTGTGACTATCATAAATAAATAAAAAAAATTTTTTTTAAAAAATAATTGTCTATGATTAGAATTCTTTGGTCAAATATATGGTTTTAAGATTTACATGTTGTCTCCCCAGTCCCAAGGCTTTCCTCAGCCTCTCCAAAGCCTCCCATATTCAGCATTCCACTTACAATTTTGAACCAAAAAACAATACTGTGCCTTACCTAGGAGAGAACATGCCATTTCCACATTTTGTCCAGCGCATTCTAGAATTGCTTTGGACACTCCTACAGGAGAGAAGCAAGAGGGTTACAAAAATGAATTTTTAAAAAATCAAAATAGTGGGGCCCCTGGGTGGCTCAGTGGTTAAGCATCTGTCTTCAGCTAAGGTCGTGATCCGGGGGTCCTGGGATCCCATCCCACAGTGGGCTCCCCACTGGGAGCCTGCTTCTCCTTCTGCCTGTGTCTCTGCCTCTCTCTGTGACTCTCATGAATAAAGAAATATTTTTAAAAATCAGAATAGTATATCTGGATCAGAAAGATTGCTTCATCATCTAAAAAAGCTTTCTCAATCATCAAAGAATCCTATAACCTGGGTATTTCTGATAAGAAAGAAGAAAAACTTATAAATTAACTGTTACCAATTATTAGAAACCATGTCAAAATAATTTTAATATTGTTAATATTAATAAGCCAAATTTGTAGAAACCAGTTTGATGATAGCAACTGTAGGATAGCTGACTATTAGACTACTCAAAATCCTACAAGTGAAGTACCTGCTTTGAGATTAAATGTCTTCGATGTTGAATTTACGATCACATCTGCCTCTTCTTTGGTGATATCTCCAGAGGCCACCTGGAAGATGATGGGACCAATCTTCATTTCATGCATGTCTACATTTGGGCTAGACACAGTCCCATAGGAACCTGAGAAGAAAAGAAATGGAGTCCCCAACGAAGTCAGCAACAGAAGAACAACCTAGATCTCAGACTCCTCAGATGCATTCCTCTCATACTTCTTCTTCCCCCTCCCTGTGATCTCCAGCCTTTAACCAGCCCTGACTCTGAGCTCCAGTGATTGCCAGTTTCTGGGAAAGGATTATAAAATCTAACACGTATCAAATGTGGACTTCTGCTGCTGGCCAAGGTAACGTCAGGACCCCAAGCACCTGTCCCACTCATGAATTACAACTAAAAGTGCAGGATAAATACGAAAAGCCACTAACTGAGACCTGAAAAGTAAACAGTGGGCAGGCTGGGGGAGGGAGTCGAAACTTGAAGAAGCCACCTGTAAAGGGGAGGGAGAGTTTCCCATTTTATTTTGTTTTGAGAATGTTCCTCTTTTCTCCTGAAGGTGGCCCCAGTTGCAGAACTATGCAATAAGAATCCCCACTTTTGTGGCCAGAGGATTAGAAAAAGAAAATGGGTCCCTGTGAGCTGAAAAGTGTAAGAAGGAATCCTCATGATTGTCCCTATTTTTCCTTTTCTAATTCAAGCCTTGCCTCAAGATGAGCCCAGCTGCAGAACTCCACAGTGGCACCACAGGAAGCTAAAACTCTGAAAAACATTCGGTCCTTTCTGTCCAGAGGAATCAAGAGGAAAGGCCCTTATGGTCTGAAAAGCGTGTATGTGGGGGTGCCTGGGTGAGTCAGTCAGTTGGGTGTCTGACTCTTGATTTCAGCTCAGTTGATGATTTGAGGGTTGTGAGATTGAGCCTCATGTGGGGCTCCAAGCTCAGCGAGGAGTCTGCTTGAGATTCTCTCTCTCCCTCTGCCCTTCCCCTTCTCCTGCTCCCTCTCTCTCACAAATTAAAAAAAAAAAATTCTTAAAAAGAAAAGCATGTATTTGTGTGTAGGGACAATACCTGTGGCTGGCTCACTCTTTCTCTCCCTCTCCCTCTTCCTCTTTCTCTCCACTGTGTGCCCACAAGGGCAACCCTTACCACACAAAATTATGAGGCAACTGAACAGGCAGCTTAAGCTCCCAGAGAACCCTGTCTTTCTGGACAGAGGACCTAGAAAATGGGCTCCCTTGAACCAGAGAATGTAGGAGTCCCAGACAGGAGAGCTGGAGAAGGTAGCCAGTATTCCGTGTATAAAGTGGGATAAATTCGAGCTCACCTGGAGTTGCACATGTGGGGCAGATGCAAGCTACATAGCAAAGGCCTTGAGAACTAAATTACCATTGAAACTGCTGCCTGTGAGACATCTGAGTTGTTCAGTAGTTGAGCATCTGCCTTTGGCTCAGGGCATGATCCTGGGGTCCTAGGATCGAGTCCCGCATTGGGCTCCCTCTGCCTGTGTCTCTGCCTCTCTCTGTGTGTCTCTCTTGAGTAAATAAATAAAATCTTTAATAAAGAAAGAAACTGCTGCCCACACAGAAGGTGAGACAGAGCACTTAGAATGAACTTAACTGACTGCTGGCTAAAACAAACCAATCACCATTTTCCAATAGATTTCCATAGGAACCAAGTTTCACAACATAGTATTTAAAATGCCCAGTCTGTAATCCCGAATTGTTTGTCGTATAAAGAACCAGGAAAATGTGACCAGTTCTCAAGGATTGAGATCATCAATTACAGATGCTAATCTCAAGATGATCCAGATGTTGGAATTACCTGACAAAGACTTTAAAGCATCTGCTGTAACTATGCTCCCTGAGGTCAAAATAAACGCAGTTGAATGCATGAAAATGATTTGGAAGGAATGGAAAAATAGGAGGCTCTGCAGTTTATAAACTACATTTTTTTTATTTATGATAGTCACAGAGAGAGAGAGAGAGAAGCAGAGACATAGGCAGAGGGAGAAGCAGGCTCCATGCACTGGGAGCCCGATGTGGGATTCGATCCCGGGTCTCCAGGATCCGCCCTGGGCCAAAGGCAGGCGCCAAACCGCTGCGCCACCCAGGGATCCCTATAAACTACATTTTTAAAAAAGGAACCAAATGGACGTTTTAGAGCTAAAAAATACAGTATCTGAAATAAAAAAATTCACTGGATTGGCAGTGGACAGAGAAAAGAGCCCATGAACTTGGAGGTGGATCAACAGAAATTATCCAATGTGATGAAAAGAGGGGAAAAGAGATTTTAGAAAGGAAAAAAAAAAGAGAGAGATGCCGGGGACCTGTGGGACACTATCAAAACACCTCATATTCATGTTATTGGGGCACTGGAGAAAGTGTGGTATGGTAAACTAATTAAAGAAATGAGTGAAAAAGCCCCAGTACACATTCAGATTCAGGAAGCCCCAGCAAACTCCAAACAGGAGTTTGGATAAACTCAAATATAGCAATGGCAGATCTGACACAGGAGAAGCATTTGGTTGGTGGTGTCTCTTTAAATGTATCTATTTCTGAAAACACATGTGACATTATCCTTAGAAATTATAGCCACATCACCACTTAAAAGTCGTGCAGAGACTATATAATTTTGCCTGCCTACTCTTTCACTTCAGACCACATAAGCACACCAATGTCTTTCATACTCAAGGGTGTGGGATATAATTTAATATCTTGTCATTAACTGATTCCTTCCTAAAAAGCATCACTACCGTCTTTCACTGAATAGTTATTTAGCAACTAGAAATAATTTATCATCTCACAGCTTTACGGAACCTTGTGCATCTTCAGCCTTGGGAATTGTGTCACTGACATTTCCATTAGTCCTTCTGGCAAATACATCTGAAAATGCCTGGAAATACAAAGACAATTTTGACCACTACAATCCTCAGTAGATGAATAAATTTGATTCATCAGGGCTTTCAATCTTGCATGCACACATACTTAGGAGAGAACAACTCTGAAAGTGTTATTTTCATTATGGATTTTTGAAATTATAAAAATAACACATAATTCTGTTTTTACAGATTCATTCTAGGAAAACTATTAAAATATGTGAACTGTTATAAATACAAGCATATTCATTACACACTATGTAGAGCAAAGAAAAGATAAAAGTTCAAAAATCCAACAGGGAAATGGTTAAATAAACTTTGGTATATCCATGTGTTGGAACATTTAACAGCCACCAAAAATCTCATTTTCAAAGAATTATTAATGGAATAGAGAAATTCTTTTTATACTATTAAATGAAAAAATGCTATTAAGTTGCATTATATAATCCCACTTTTTAAAAAAGATTTTATTTATTCATTTGAGGGAGAATGAGTGAGAGAGGGAGAGCAAGAGATAGAGCACAAGTAGGGGGCAGGCAGAGGGAGAAGCAGACTCACTGCTGAGCAGCGAGCCCCATGTGGGGCTTGATCCCAGGACCCCATGATCATGACCCAAGCCAAAGGCAGTTGTTCAACCGACTGAGTCACCCAGGCATCCCTGTAATTGCTTCTAAAAGTACACATGTATAAAAGAAGACGAAATGCAACTAAAAGAATGTATACATTTTGTGTGGTTCAAAGTTTCTACAATGAATATTCTTTTCATAATCGGTAAGAGCAAGTACCTTGCCAATTGTAAAAAACAACCACCACAACAACATAGTAGTAAAAGAAAGTCACGTAAGACAGCAACACTTCCATTTTTTAATTTTAATTTGTCCCAGGAGAGGAATCACTAGAAAGTAGTTCTCTCTGGAGGACCCTAATCCTAGGGTTAATAAACCTGTGAATTTCATTTCTTTGCCTGGTAGTGACATCCTCAAATCATCACTTTCTTTCTCCTTTGAAACAAACAAGAGAGATTTAGGGGGAGAAAAAAAATAAGTATAACTTCTTTGCTAAAAGTTGATCCAGTAATGGGAGGGGGACACAGGGAGACTACAGAACCAGGATCACAGCGCATGGGCTCTCAGGGATGGGATGACAGGCAGGCAAGCTCCGTGTGTAAAAGAGGACAGCTGGTTGATGAACTCGCTACAACTGAAGATGGTTCTGGAATTCCTAGTTTCAACTCTCCTATGCCCATGGGGATGTGCTGACATTATTTACAGACAACCGTTTGTCCTCCTATTTAGAGGACTACAACTTTTATATTATGTTCTAAACTTTCTAGATTCCTATGAAAGGGAATCCCCTAGATTAAAAAACGATTAAGGGATGTCAGCTCTATTGCAATATATGGACCTTATTTGGATTCTGATTCAAACAACAAGCTATAAAAACAAAATAAGATGCCTGGAAAAAAAAAAAAAGATGCCTGGGTGGCTTGGTCAGTTATTCAACTGTGTCGGGCTCTTGGTGTTGGCTCCGGTTGTGATCTCAGGATGGTGACTTGGGGTCGTGGGATCGGGCCAGGGCCCATTACAGGGATCCACGCTCAGGGAGTCTGCTTGAGATTCTTTGTCTCCCTCTCCTTCTGCCCTTCCCTACATGCATGCACACACACACACACACTCTCTCTCTCTCTCTAATAAATAAATAAATAAATAAATAAATAAATAAATAAATAAATAAATAAATAAAATAACAGCCCCTCCAAAAAAACAAAAAACAAAAAACAAAATGAGGCATTTATGAGACAATTGGAAATTTGGACATTGAATTCACAACAGAGGAAATAAGGGACTGATTTTCAATTTATTTGAAGTGTGAAACAGTATTGTGGTTATACTACTTTTTAAAAAGGATCCTACTGTTTAAAATAAATACTGAATTGTTTATAGGTGAAGCATATGTCTAGGATTTGCTTGGAAATAATATAGGAAGAAGGGAAATAAATGGAGGTAGAGATGAAACATACTGGCCATAGGTTGATAATTGTGAAGAAGAGTGATGGGTACAAGGCATTTTATTATGCCATTTTGTCTACTTTTACTTATGTTTGAAGTTTTCCTTAATAAGTTAAATTTTTTTCTGTATCCATAAATTTGCTGCTTGACATTTGCTGTGCTGCAACTAGTCTACACCACTCCTTTACTTTCCTGTACAGAAAATACATGAAAGAAACAACCTAATAGACCCACCAAGAAGACATTTGAGAACAGTAGGGCTCAGCTGCCCAAATAACCAGAAATGAGTGAGACTGTACCTGAATATTTTCATGATCATTCGGGTGGAGCAGAAATTGAACCTCTTGTAAAGCTGCCAGTTGAGTCTTGCTACTAAATGTTAACACTTCCGAAGTTATTAATTCAGCAAAAATAGTTTTTGGAAACCCCAAATTTCCTGTTCCTATTGCTGGAAATGCAATTGATCTTAAGGACAGGCTCTCTGTGATTTCCAGACATTTTCTGATTATGTCTCTCATGATCTGAAAAGCACAAAGCACAAATTTATGCATCTTTCCTAGAAAGGGGAGTTAGAACAAAAATGATGAGAATTTAGCAACTTTGACTATGATCTCTGTCTACTCCTCTGCTCTCAAGAGAGGCTAAGGGCAGGCAGAAAAGGAAAGGCCAGTACAGGAGTAGACAAGGAAAAAGAAAAGGAAACCTCAGAGGCCCTCTGAAAAGATCCAAACTCACTTAGCAACAAAGGAAAGCAGCAAAACAACTACTGCTCTGACCCTTCATTCTCTTCCATTCTTCACGCCCTCACCTTGCTATCCTCACAGAAGACGTGTCATCTTCAATAACTCTTCCCTGAGCCCCAATAATGATTGAGCACTATAGTCCATTTATATTATTAACTAGTCTCCCCGGGAGAAGTCAGCCACGGCTGAAAGAAATGGCCATAGTGATAGAACGTCCTGATAATGTGACAGACGGAGAGGATCCAACCTACATGATACTGAGAGGAGGATCCCAAGCGCTACCCAGTTTCCCAGAGAACCGCAAACTTGGCCCTACCTTTTGTGAAGACGTGCTGCCCTCTTCCCAGTCCGGAGCCACCACGTGAAGCACGTAGCGACAGTGCAGATCGCATCCACTGGTTTGGAGAACTGTGCCCATGCCAACAGCCACTGCTCGTCCCACCGTGTCCAGTTCCTCCTGGAGCTTTGGCCCAGCTTTTGCCAAGAGGGCTTGGGAAAGGAGCCCTCTATTAAGCTTGAGATCCACGGGAACGGAGTTGACAATAACGTCAGCCTTAAAGACGAAACCAACTTGTTTCAGATGCTAACAAAGAGCATTCCTCAGGGTTTACCATATTTAAGCCACTGGGTTTGGCACTACTGTGGGGAAACCATGAAGATTATTTTCAGACACTGAAATGCCACCCAAGGCAAAGTCGTGCTAGATATTTATTTAATAACACTCCGGGGGCAGCCCGGGTGGCTCAGCGGTTTAGCGCCGCCTTCAGCCCAGGGCCTGATCCTGGAGACCCGGGATCGAGTCCCATGTCAGGCTCCTACATGGAGCCTGCTTCTCCCTCTGCCTGTGTCTCTGCCTCTCTCTCTCAAATAAATAAATAAAATCTTAAAAAAAAAAACACTCCAGGACAGCAGAGAGCCGTCAAAAATCGATATATAACTAGTACAGGGTTTCTGAAGGAGAGCAGAGCCAGTGGCTGGTGGGGTCTGGGGCAGGAATCAGTGCACCAGGCAGAGGGAGACGGGCTGTCACCTGGGAGGGAACCTACACAAACACAACCCCGGGACGTCTGAGCTGTGGTCAGACTGGTTGGACCTGACAGAGATGTTCTAAATTGGGTCAGATGAAGACGCCAGAAGACCGGAGAGGGGACGTGAGCAAGTGATTTCCAAAGCTGCCCCGCATGGGTCACCGAGGAGTGATGACCCTGGTTCAGTGCCATTGACAAGACTCCCATCCTCTGCTCGGATTTTTCTGTATCCGCTCTCAGTAAGTTTGGCAGGAAATTAACTTCAGATCTGCCCAAATATGACAGGTGTAAAGGCACTGCGAAAAGCACAAATGTGGAAGTGGTGACTCTGAGCATAGATGTAAGATATTGCGGGTTTTCACATCGGCTGGAAACCACTCGCAGGTCCCGCCATTGGCTGGCCAGTCTCTGTTGGTAAATGTCTCAGCGAACTCGCCCAGTTTTCTGAGAAAGCCCCACCTGAGAGGCTGGGTCAGGGGGGTACGGGGTCTCCCCCTGGGTCCTACCCGCCCCCACCCTACCCCCGGGACAGGCTGGCTGGGGTCCCAGCACCGCCATGGTGTCCTGCAGGCGGGGACACTCACCGCAGCTCTCTGTGCATCTCCTTTCACCAGCAGGACCCTCAGATTGCCCTGGGACAGCGACATCTGTCCGCTTGCATGGACACCTGTCGGGCCGGGCTGCACGGCGGCGGGTCCAGGGGCCTTGGCCAGCGCTGCCACAGTGTCCGCGAAGGCCTGGACGGTCTTCTCCGCTGCATCCACCAGGTAAATCTCTTTCAGGGAGTGCCCATCGTGGCTCAGCTGGCAGCTTTCCTGGACGGCCAGAACGATAGTGCTGACGCACACAGCTAAGGGGAAGCCGAAGAGTCCGGAGCTGATGGCAGGGATGGCCACGGACCTGCAGCCGTGCGCCTCGGCCAGACGCAGGCTCTGCTTCACGGCCGCCTTGAGCTGGGACACGCACCTCAAGGCCTCGCTGTCCTTCCACTGGGGCCCCACGGCATGGATGACCAGGCGGTAGGGCAGCTTCCCTGCCGTGGAGGCCACGGCGCCGCCCACAGGGATGGGGCCCGCCGTCCTCAGTAGCCGGCTGCAGTCCTCCTGGAGCGCGGGGCCCGCCGTCTGGGCCAGCGCGGCCGCCAGGCCCCCGCGGAGCTGCAGGTCCCCGCTGGCGGGGCTCACCACGGCCTGGGCGGCGGGGAAGCGGGTCAGGTCACCCCGCTGCACGGCCAGGGCCACCCCAGGGCGCAGCTCCACCCGAGGCAGGCCCCTGTGCGCGTCGCCCCGGCCTGCCGCCCCTGCGGCCTCCTGCAGCTCCAGGCAACAGCCGAACCGCCGCTGGACCTCGCTTCTGTAATAGGGCGCCTTCTCCCGGAAGAGCCGGCTGGCCCCCGGCGTGTGCACCTGCAGGCTTTCCACGCGCACGGCCTCCCGCACCTGGCCCAGGAGCCTCACGCCCTCCAGGACCCTGGCCCGAGGCCCGATCAGCAGGACACCTTGGGCTCTGTTCTCCGGGTTGAAAATGACCTGGACGTTTGTCCTCTTCATCTTCTGCCAGCAGAGCTTCTTCTCTCTCCTCAAGTAATCAATGACGATGGGAGGCTCGATTTCGATCAGTCGCTCTACTCTCATGTGCTTTTCCACAAAGTTGAACAGCAAGCTGTGGGTTTCATTCACTTGGCTCGTGCAGCCGGCGATGACGACCTCGGCTTTGGTTTCTGAAGTGAGCTCGTCGATGATCACAGTCCTAGAGGGCGAATTATGTCTCCTGTGCAAACTCTGAGTGAGCCCTTTCCATTTCCTGCCTTTAAGAACTTCCCCGTCCTTAAGGTCCAGGCGCTTGTAACTTAAGGCGGTGACCATCTGCTTTGCGGCATCCGATAGGACTTCAGAGGAATAGCCGGTTAGGACGACAGCTGTACCTGCTAGCTCATAAACTGCAAGAATTTTCTGTGCCACCAAAAGAGACTTCGAGAATTCTACACAGTCTACTTGTTGCAAAAACTGGAAAATCTCAGGGGGAAGCTCGATGCTTTTTTGAACCATGATGTGCATCTTCTTCTGTATTTCACACTTTGCTTTATTCACATCTGCGTGGAGACCCTTGAAGCACATGTGTTGAGAAGCTTTGTCGTAACACATCTCCACCTCTGGGCACTCAGTGCGGAGATGCTCTAGGGCGTTGCTGTGACACAAAAGAGAATACCTTCCGGGAGAAAGAGCCACTTTTTCCTCTAGACTTTGCTCTTCTCTCTTAATTTTTTGAACGGTACTTTCTATTAATTCCTTGATTTGTGGCTCCACGTTCTGTACATCCTCTGATTTCCCCACTAAGGTTACAGTCCCTGTCAGTGTATCAAACTCTATCAAAATCCTGTCGTCTTCTAAATGATTTCTTACGGTGTCCCACACCGTGGGGTCCACAGTAAGCGTAGTAACTTTATACTTAGACCTGATGCTAGAGAATGCCATCGAAACATCTTCCCTCCAGGTCCTGATTTTCAGTCTACCTAGACAGAATAATGTGGTCGCAGGTCTGATAGTAACTTCAGCACTGAGTTTAGACCATATTAGTTCACAGTGACATCGTCTCGCTTCATCATTTATCTCCTTGATCAGATGATTCTTTTGCTGCAAGAACCTCCATAAGGGAAGATCTAATGGTTCTCTGAATGGTGCCGGAAGCTTGATCAGAGGTTTTTCCTTTCCGTACAAGGCTGTGCCCAGAGAGGTATAGTACGGAAACACAGAGAGTGGCATATGTTTGAATTCAAGGTTCTTCGTCATGATGGTGCATAACACTTAAAAGGAAAGAAATAAAATCATTCCAGTGTGATGTTTCAAGTGGAAAAAAAAAACACTTCACTATTAGAGGAAAAAGAATCCTAATGATTGTAAAGCTTTGATGTTATAACGTGCTATTAGAAAGCAGCACTACTCTCAAAGTGCTCAAGTGTAAATTGATTTTTATTAATCCTACATAGGTATCCTTTGTTTAATGGAATACTTTCCAACCAAGATCACTCTGTGTTGAAATTCTGTTAAGTAAATTCTATTTTCTGTTTTCTGATAACACTGCTGTATCACCACCAGGCTAACAAATAGATAAGAATTTGTTCACAAATATGGGGGTCATGTTTGCCCTTGTGCAAAGAATATTCTGGTGCTCAAAGCAAAGCTCATGTAAGAATCATGCTATACGCTGCTTCTTGCACAGTCTCACAGTTTTAGGCTTCTTAGCTGATTTAGACTCTAGTAATAGAGAAAGAGCATAATAATAATTATCAGAGCTTACTGTGTGTCAGATGCCATTCTAAGTTCTTTCCACATATTTATTTAAGCTTCTCAACAACTCTTTGAAGTAGAGGCACTATTATTATCACCCCTATTTACAAATGATAGAACTGAGGCTAGGGAAGGTTAGGTAACTCAGATGGGACCATGTTAATGACAAATATCTGAGCTAAGATTTGAGCCAGTCAGTATCTGTCTAACCCTAAAACCCACACTCTTGCCCCTTTACCAGGGTTTCCAAACAAGATAGACTCATGGTCGTTGGAGAACCCAGCCCTGGGGACTCGGATTCAGTAAGTCCTGCCCTTCCCCTTGTCCTTGCTATGATCCCCCTCTGCCACTTCTGCTGGGGTGGTCCCTAGGGTGGGATGTGTGTGTGTGTGTGTGTGTGTGTGTGTGTGTGTGTGTGTGTTGGGGGGTACTCTTCTTTCCCTTGTGTTAGTTATTAGGTGAAAAGGGTCTAAGGAAGATAATTAGAATGAATTCCAGTAACACCTTGGATTAAAATAGCATCCTTATAGAAATATGTGAAAAATAACTTCACCTTGTGCATGATTGTCTCCTAGGCCTGGAGCCGGATGTCACAAAAAGAACATGGCCTTCACAGGCCAAGACACATAGCTGGAACTTCCCAACATGGCTCTGTATGGGCCCTGAGCCTGGGCAGGACCAGTGACCACTAATGTGTACTGAGACCCACCATGTGCAGGTATCATTTTATTCGATCCTCACAAATTCTTCTGAGGCATGTAATAATGTGAGCCTTATTTTATAGGTGAGAAAATAGGCTTTGGTGGGTTAAAGTAACTTGCTCAACACTGGACCTGAGTGAGTAGGCATTTTTCCAAAGAAGACATCCAGATCGCCAACGGACACACATGAAAAGATGCTCAACATCACTCATCATCAGGGAAATACAAATCAAAACTACAATGAGATACTACCTCATACCTGTCAGAATGGCTAGTATCATAAACAAGAAATAACAAGTATTGATGAAGACGTAGAGAAAAAGGAATCTTCGTGGACTCTTGGTTGAATTGGTGAAGCCCCTGTGATAAATGGATAAAGGGCAGTGGGAGATACAGGCTTCCAGTTATGGAATAAGTAAGTCACAGGGATGACAGGTACAGCAAGGGAATAGAATCAACGATATCGTGACAATGCTGTATGAATGGCGATAATGGTAGCTACACTTGTGAGCATAGCATATAGAGTTGTTGAATCACTTTGTTGTGCACCTGAAACTAATATAACATTGTGTGGCAACTATACTTCAATAAAAATATATATAGGGGCTCCTGGGTGGTTCAGTCAGCTAAGCATCCAACTCTTAGTTTCGACTCAGGTCGTGACCTCAGGATTGTGAGATCGAGCCCGGCGTCAGGTTCTGTGCTCAGCATGAAGTCTGCTTGAAATTCTCTCTCTCCCTCTGCCCTTCCTGCTTGTGCATGTGCTCTCAAATAAATAAATAAATAAATAAATCTTAAAATATAGAGATAAATAATAATAAGTAATAAAGTAATTTGCCCAAGATTACAAAGCTAGTAAGCATCAAAACCAGGATTTGAACTCTGATCTGACTCAAGAAGCATCATAGATGTCACCTTGCTGTGCCTTTAATTCTCCATCCTGTTTCCTCCTCTTTAAGAAAAAGTAACTATATGCACAGCATTACTAGGATTCAGTGAGCTACTGTGGCAGAAAACACAGCAAAAGATTTTACTTAGAGTAGGTTATTCAATAAGAGTTCCTCTCATTAAGATTTTGTGAATCAGATCTTGTAAAATTGAACAAAGTAATTCCAGAATAAGTGCCTGATTTATTCCTCTCAAATAATCTACGTAAAATGTAGGTTGCTAGCAAATTATGTTTTTAATCCAGCTTTTGCTACAGTTGGCCTCATTACTAATAACCCATTGTAAGTGGTGAAATAGCCCATAGGAAAAATTAATGTTATAGATGAACAGGAGATTGGGAAAGAATGAAGAGCTTAAGAGCATAGATTAGGGGCTAGACTAACCAGGTTCAGATACTGGCTCTGTCACTTACTAGCTGTGTAACCTTAGTCAAGTTATTTGACCTTTTTGTGCCTGTTTCTTATTTGTAAAATAGGGATTACAGTACTAGCAATGTCCACAGAGCAGTGTCTGCGAATACACTTTGTAGCACCCTGCAGAGCTATGCAAATGTGAGTCATAATTATAAGAGGGAGCAGCCAAAGAAAGGGAAAAATCAGTGTATCTCAGGCCACGGAGAACAGAGAGTTCATGAGTTTAGATGGGGAGGCATGGCCAACATAGTCACGAAGCGGAACCTTTGAAGAGTGCCCAACTGGTCACAGGTGCAGCTCTGCAAATAACCCTAATTACATAGTTCCTATTATTAGTCATCCACGTGTAATGCAGACATCCTGAGGATAGACCCAACTGCACCAGGCCTTCAAGCGTTCGAAGACCCACCATAAATTGGGAGGTTAACTTCTAGGCAGCTTCACGTAGCTCTCTCCCTGGGTCCAAGCCCAGGTTCAGGGAGATTTAAACCAATTGTGACCTCTTTTGTCCCCTTGCCCAAGGAACACACTAGGACTTTTATTCCATTTTAATCCAAACCATACCTTCACTCCAGTTTCCCCAACTCATCAAAGCCAAAGGGAGTTTCCTCCATATATCTCCCATGAAGCAGTTTATCTTCAGTGGGTGGAATGCCGCAGGATCATGTCTCATGCTCCCCCCATTAATCCCAAGCCCACTGTTCCTCCTCTCCCTAAGAAGTCAGCCCCCCTGATTCCTATTCCACAACCTCCACCTCCGAACACCAAGTGGAATCTCCAAGCTGAGTCTACATGTCTCAGTGAACTGGCCATCTAATATCCAAAAAACCCTCAGAAATGATTCCATGAAGTTCAGCTGGACATGGTTTTTCACAGGGTTGCTGCAAAGAACAATCTAGCAGACATCCATTGGATGCCATTTACTGTCCCTATTAATTTCTGAATGATGAGACTGACAGGAGAAAGGGGAAGTAGTGATACTTTATAGGAAGTGTACGTGTTTCTGAATATTTCTTTACCTAACCTTGTTGAAATTGAGATTTTCTACCAAGTGTACAGCTGAAACACACATGATTTTAATTTCTATGTGAGAATTTACATCCTTACAACTCCCAGTCTTTTTTATATACAGTATTTCAAAGAGTCTACGAATTATATATTTTTCACTCTAGGTAGAAACTCATGAGAGAATCTCCTTATGTCTTTCAAAACTTAGCATTGCTTCTCTAAAGTTTAAATCACTGGACTCATTAACTATCATAACCCAGAGAACGGGATTACTAATTGGATTTCCAGTGAAACTTATGAATAAGAAGTAAAACGCATTAGAACCTAACTGATAACTTAAGCTCCGCTAAAATGGTTTAGATTATGTCAGGTAGGTTCACAGAATCAGGCTCATAGATGTTACCTTTTTTGTCAAAAAACTCAATCAGAGCCGAATTCTCTTCAGGAAAACATTCAATACTGGCAACTCTTCCTCCTCCATTTTGTGGATTTTCAAATAAACACTTCAAATTATAGTCATTAACACCAGGTGGCAAGTTTTCAACCCTGATTGTTTTTGTCACTTCCAGAAGTCTTGGAGAAAGCTGAAGTTGTTTCACTGAATGGTGCCTGGCACAATCATCAACAAATTTGATGGCATCTACAAATCAAAATCAATCGATAGATCAGTCAGGAAATTATGATCATACCTTTATATTATACAGAAGAAACTGTCTGAATATTAATTGAGATAAAGAAGATAGCTAAGCACTCAATTTTTATTTTTATTTTTTTAAGCGCTCAATTTTTAGAGGCAAGATTTTAATTTCTATGTGAGAATTTGCATCCTTACAACTCCCAGTCTCTGTTGGTTATACACACGTGAATGTTTCACCTGGCTTTCTGCCCCGGAGCTGTGTCCTCACCTGCAGTCATAGCTCTCTCCAACCCCCCTTGACGTCCTACCTGGGTGCTCTCTCTACGATACAAATCCTCTCACTACATTCTTTTCTCAAGTCCTACCATGGCTTCCCATTACCTGTAGGAATCAGTTCATGCTCCTTAGGCTCAAAATGCCCTTGGTTGGGTATTTGACTCCAAAGTAATTACCAAACATCACTTCTGGTTATTTCCTGCCATTCATTTTATTTTCCATATTGTCCCCAAAACTAGCCATTATTTTGAAAACCCTATTCTCTTTTGCCTCAGTATATATAATCACCTATATCTAAAATCTCTAATTTTTTTTGTCTTGGTCCTATTCCTCCTTCAGGACTCTGATTATCTCTTTCAAATTAATAAATACCGAAGGTGGGCCCATGATGTGCCCGCACTGTGCTGACCTGGGGTTAGAGAGATGAATATAACAAGTCCTTGAAAGTTCACTATCTGGGAAGGAGGGAGGGAGGGAGTCTTGAAAGTACACAAATGGCCTATTGCGGGATCAGATGAGGCAGGAGGATAAATAAGTGGAAATCCCACAAGGACTCCCAGAGAAGGTAGTTGCTGATCTGAGTTCTGAAGGATGAAGAAGAGTTTAGCAGATAGATAAGGGGAGGAGAGCTTTCAGGCAGAGTGAAGAGCAGTGGCAGGAAACAACAGTGTACTGGGGACCTGGGAGACTGGGACCACTGGAGCATCGACCTCATAGACTGGAGAAAGCAAGGCAAAACCAAGCCACCTTGTTTGGGTCCCCCCCCCCTTCCCTGAAGCCTGCTGTTTTATGGCTGAGAGAGGCAGCTTCTCCTCTCACATCTTCATTTTTCATTTACTTATGAGTCTCCAACTCCACAGGAGTTCCTCAAGAGCAAGCCAAGAATTATTCATCTAGGTACCCTCAGCACGTAGGCAAGTGCCTGGCACATAGCACTAATCACACATAGTAGGTGTGATTAATGAACAAAAGCAAGTCCACTTAGTTTTTCCTTTATAAAAAATAATTATACATTTGAAATAAGAATAGCACCCTTCACTGAGCTCTTACTATGTCTCAGGTACTATATGAAGGGCTTTGCACACATTATCTCATTAAACCCTCTTAGAAGCTGTATCACGTAGGTGTTTTTTCCTCTGTTTTATAGATGAGAAAAGCAAAGCCCAGAAGGTAGTAACTTGGACGACCTCAGAGAATTAGTCAAATGGTTGAGCTAGAATTTTGACTTCATGACCTGTGCTCTTACTTAGCCATTCTCCTACCATGGCCATGGGACAGTGAAGGCTCGGAATAGAACAGAAGAATCCCTGGTGTTTCTGGAGATAACTCCACACACAGACCTTGAACAGCACTCATTTCCTGCATCACGTGCACTTACTCTCCTGCATATGGGATGACCATGCTAGTACTAAGGAAATATAGGGTAAAGGAAACAAGACAACAGGCTGTGTAGAGGTGGGCTGCCGAGGTTCAAATCCAAGAATTGATTAGCATCTCTGCATCTCCGGCTCCTCGACTATAAAATGAGGAGTGATAACAATTATCTCAAAAGGTTGTTAAAAGGAATAAATACATTGACACATGGCACAGGCTTGGCACACAGTCCCTGACTTACAGTATCTCTATATGAGTGTCTGCTGTTATTATCATTATTACATTCCATTAAGTCCAGTTTGGTAACACAGATCAATATTTACTTCTCCCAGTGAGATAACACGTGAAAATGCTGACTCAACTCCTTAGAATCACTTTAATAACCTAAGACTGTAGATTTCTATTTGGGTGTATAATCTGTGTCTATTGTTCTGTGTCTCTCTCTCTCTAACACTGACACACACACACACACACACCCTCATACAATAAAGTCTGATTTACTGAACATACCAGAATTCAGTTTTAAAACAAATCTTCTCTTTCAAAATAAAAAAGCATCTATTCTAACTTGGAATCTTCTCTTACTAGCTACTGGAAAAAGTCAAACTTTCAGAGAGATTCTATTAGCTGAGTGTCTCAGATCCCAAAGTGCGGTGCAAAGAAGATTGGCAAATGCAGCATTACTTGAACTTACCTGTATGCGTTTGAAAGGTAACTACAGCAACATCAAAATCTCGTAATACTTCCACTTTGAAATCATTACTGGACAGGCCGCTTACATTCTCCACTAGCAAGATTAACATTATATCAGTTACATTTGCCTTGAGATTTTCAAATGCAACCAAAGAGGAAGTATTTTCACATTCTTCTGAGGTATCTTCCATTCTCTCTGCTCTTCTGAGAGAAAGTTTTATATCCAGTTCTTCTGACACATCTGATTTTAGGAGGACAAAAGAGGCACAAGATGTTACATTTGTCTACCATGGTCCTAGCAAAGTAAATTGTCATATGACACTGTCCTCTTTCCTTCTCTTGGCTAACTCAAATAAAAACAGATCTTAGAAGGCTTTTTGTTTAATTAAAAATAAAATGTAGCGTTTAACTGTCTATTATTGATGAGCCTGATTTTTGGTATGCCCCTCCTGCCTTGTCTTTCTGAGGAACCTGTCTTTCATAGCATTTGACATATGCTTCTATCAAGCACCTCATTCTAGTTCTTGAACTCAGCTTCTCAAAAGCAAGGGACATGTTTAGTCATCCTTGTATCACCGGCACATGGAATACACTTGAGGCTCATTAGCGTTTGCTGAATCGAAGATTTACTGCTTGGGCCACTGGAGGAAGGCAAGAATATCTGATGACATGTAGCACATTATGCTCTGAAAAGTAATACATTTTCATCACCGAGAAGAAAAAAGAGAGTCGTTGAATGACAAAGGAATATAACATAGAAAGTAAAATGGGCCAGAGAGCTGCATGTACGCATCCAGCTCACCGGACAGCAATCCTCCCAGGCAGCTTGGTCCTCTGCATTGTCAGCCCTACGTGAGCCCTAGCTATGCACCAGGTCAGGCCCACTCTGCCTGTCCAGGGCAGTTTGATGCGTATGATAGGATCTTCAGACATTCTGTGAGTGATGATTCCACTGGGGCCCTTACTACGCTCAAGGCACTGGAGGTGTGGGGAGGGGTGCACACAGAAAACAGCAGATAAGGAGCTTACAGGTTTTCTAACGGAGATACACAAGAAAAATGACAAACGGAACTGACATTTGTAAACATCTATTATGGCAGAGCAAGATGCTACGTGCTCACCAAATTCCATTTAGTTTTCTTTCTGGGCCACATTTCCCAGACTTCCCACAGTCGAGTTCATGTGGCTAATGGAATATGGGTGGAAGTGTGAATCGCACTTGCATGCCTGGCCGGTACAAATCTCCTTTATGTGAATCTCCATTCTCCCTTGCAGTGACATTGGAGGCCACAGATCAAAAGTAATGTTGCCAAGAGATGGAAGGAACCTGGAATTCCTGAATGGCTGTGAAGCGGTGTAGACGCCTCCCTTCCCCAGCTGCTGACCACACTGACCTATGATGTGGGTGGTTGTTTGTTCCAGCAGTTAGATCTAACACCCTGATACGGACTCCTGCTCTGCGCTGGAGGTAACATCAGGTACTCATGCCAAATACAAAAATAGCTGGAGGATTCAATAATAACACAGCATTCAATGAGACAGGTGTGACAAAGCAGAAGGACTGCCAGGCTGGGGGTAAGGTTGTGGGAGTTCCACCCCAGATGCTGCCACATTTCAGCCATGCGACCTCAGGCATGTCTCTTTACAAAACAGTATCGGATTAACCGAATGGTAAGAGCCTTCCCAGCAACATAATTTTATGACCTTATGACTATTAGAAGGTTCATCACAAGAGAGGCTTGGTTGACTGCCAAATCAAGAGCATCAACAATCCAAGCAGAAACCCGAGGGAAACAAGGAGGTTGGGCTGCCTTAGAAAGGTGTCAGGAAAAGGGGAAGCTTGGTGGGTCTTGAAAGCTCTCTTGAGTTTAGATAGAGAGAAGTGGGGTAGCAGAGATTGTGAGCCACAGAAGTACAGCAGAGCACCGTGCCTGTGCCAAACTATTCAGGAAATGGTGATCTGACCAATGAAGCTCAGGGAGCACTTGTGTGCAAATATAAGAAAAGGCCAGAAAAGTCAGCTCCACCCAACGTGCGGTGAGGACTTTCTCTTGCAGTCGGTGGTAAGGGGGAGTTGTGGAAGGTTCTGTGATAAGGAAGACAGGATATTTAGCAATAGTAAAAGGGCCAGTCAGAGTTAAGGGGAAGGACATCAGATACAGGGCAGCCAAGCAGGGTGTGCCTGCCACGCGGGATCTGTGAGGTAATAACGGGAGCCTGGCATGAAGGAGGGACAGATGAGGAAAAAAATTTTTTTTAAAATTTTTTAATTTTTATTTATTTATGATAGTCACAGAGAGAGAGATAGGCAGAGACACAGGCAGAGGGAGAAGCAGGCTCCATGCACCGGGAGCCCGACGTGGAATTCGATCCCGGATCTCCAGGATCACGCCCTGGGCCAAAGGCAGGCACCAAACCGCTGCGCCACCCAGGGATCCCGGAAAAAAAATTTTTTAATTGATTAAAGTCTCTGTGACTAATATGTGTGAAGGCTTAAAGGAGAGAGATGACTGAAGTTTCTAGCAGGTGATGAGCAGACTGGTTGTGTACTTCAAGAGAAATAAAAGAGGGCAGCCCCGGTGGTGCAGCGGTTTAGCGCCGCCTGCAGCCCAGGGCGTGATCCAGGAGACCCTGGATGGAGTCCCATGTCGGGCTCAGCATGGAGCCTGCTTCTCCCTCTGCCTCTCTCTCTCTGTCTCTATGAATAAATAGATAGAATCTTTAAAAAAAGAGAGAGAGAGAAATAAAAGAGCCAATCATGGTACCGGTTTGATGAAGAAGATGACACAGGTGGCTTTGACATGGTGGCTCTAACGTATTTTCCAACAGGAGGGCCAGACACAAGGTTTGGAATTTGGAAGAGAGTCCAGGCTAGAAATATAGACTTGAAAAAGCCAGAATTTGCTAACCACACGTGACCAGTATTTCTCTGCTCTTGCATGTCTCTCTTCTACAGGTTCTTCTAATTGCTGGTTTCCACCTTTCAGACCCAGCCCAACTCAGCTTAGCCTGGAACAGGACATTAGCTCAGTGTTCACACCCTCTGGTGTTGGCATGTGGCTTGACTGACCTACCCTTCCTCTGTCAACGGCTTGTCCCTCTCCAACTTTAAGCCCGGGGCTGCGGGCATGCCCAGTGCGCCCAATGTGCAGTATTCTCTGTTCTTCTCATCCCCGAAATGTGGGACCTATTAGGAAACCACCCTCCACCCTGATTTTGCTCAGTTCTGAAACCTGTCTACACCATTCCAACTAATTTCAAGAGGCTTAGCCTTAGGGTCACTATCAGGATTCAGCGTGCAGCGACCATTGGACAAGGGACACCCACTTATGTCTCTTAAAGGGGCCAGCTAGCTACCTTGTTAAAGACTGCCCAACTTCTTACTGCTGCTTACTATCATTAAAGTCTGGGTCATGCAAAAACAGGTCAGCGAATGAGTCTAAAGTCTCCAGGACAATGAAAAGTCCATTGGTGGGGCGGGGCTGGACGGCTCTTTCTGAGAATATACTTGGTGTTGTAAGCAAATCTGAAACAGCGCTGACAAATCAGTGAAGACAGCGTTAGGGTAAAATCTATAGAACCATAAGAAACACAGACTTGATTAAAGTCTAGACTCAGGAAATGGCACAGATATAGATGTACCAATATAAAACCACTTCCCGCTCTAAAATTGAGCTTGAGGGTATAGCAGCTAAGGCATTTGCCAAGAACAGATAAGGATTTAGGGAGCTCCCACTGTTAAGTGAGCCAGTTCCATATCTGCAGATTAGAAATCAGGAATTACTCTAGGAGACAAAAAATTCCTATATCCTAAGAACCGTGAGCTTCTTAAGAAAACCCCACATCCTAGATTCTACAGTTGAATAGTGTCTCCATGTTAGGTAAAAACAATCCATACATCCCTATCCGGTTGTTTTGCCGAGTAAAGGCAGCTCTCAGCCTACTGCCATTGTCGAAAGAGAAAGTTGCAAAAATCTAAACATATTCTCAAGATTGTGTCAATTTTAGAGGAAAATAGTTTATATATTTTTGGGAATTCCTTTTCCCTAAGATTTGGATATATGTACCACTTTGTCTCTCTTGCTCAGCCATTCAGACACGTCATCACCTCCTCCCCTTTATAACAGCAGGCTTCGCCAGGCAAAGGAGCTGCTTCTACACTACCTGGCAGGTGTACTGCAGGCCATACCCAGACACTAGATAAGTAGCAGAGTCCATAGCAGAGGTTGCAGGCTGTTTCCTATAGCAGATGGGATGAGAAGAGCTGCTGCTGGTCTAGGGGTGCTGCACCCATATACCGCACCCAGCACTTAGAAGCTTTTGTCCATCCTCCTGTTGTGGCTCCAGAGGACAGCACCCTCCCTATGTAGTGCTCGGACACTGAGCCACACATGGCACACACTGGCACATCACGTCCTTGCTTCATGATGGCTGGTTGGGCACAGGTGGGCTCTGAGGGTCAGTTTATCACCATCTCCCAGGCACCTCTTTACCTCCCCTCAATTGCAAGGTGTTTTCCAGGCCCACAGAGAGAGCTGTTCCCATCCTTCTGACCTGAGACCTCAGGGGGCTCCCCCAGGGTTCACCCTCAGCACAGATGGCTGAGAGTATGTAAATGTACACCCCACTTTGTGAAATCAGGAAGAGAAGGATGACCCCAGCAAGTGCCATCTTTGATGAATGCAAAATTGCTGGCAAAGGTCAGCCGTCACAGTTCTTTGACCTTACCTGGCTCTTTGACATGTTCTTTGGTCTCCAATTCCTAAAATCCAATAAACAATAGAGCAGAATCAATAAACTACTAAAATTTCTTTGCATTACGAAACTGTCCCTGGGACTGGCCTGGAGACACAGGGTCAATAGAAACAATAATAAAAAGCCCTGGCACTTTTGCTGTTGAATGCACCTCACGTGTAGCAGCGTATCCACTCAGCACAAGAATCACTGGTAAAAAGGAATCACAAATAACTGAAACTCCAATTAACACCAAGTGCTTGGGGTATGGGATAAGACCCAAAACTTCATGCCCCTGGGTGGCTCGGCAGTTGAATGTCTGCCTTCAGCTCAGGTTATGATCCCAGAGTTCTGGGATCAAGTCCCACATCAGGCTCCCTGCTCAGCGGGGAGTCTGTTTCTCCCCGTGCCCCTCCCCGCTGCTCATGACCTCTCTTGCTCGCTCTCTGTTTCTCAAAGAAAAAAATAAAATATCTTTTTAAAAGACCTAAATCTTTTCCCCATTTAACATTTATTGAGTGCTTACCATTAATAAGCACTGTGCCTTGTGCTTTACAGAGCTTGTTTCATTTAATCCTCACAGTGATCTAACAATCCAAGGACTGGATTACTATCCCATTTTATAATCGAGGCGATAGCACATATAGTATGAACCACTGTCCCCTCGAAATGATGTAAAATTAAAACAGAGCAAGTTCCACATTAAAAGCACCCAGGAAAAACAAATGCAAAAATTTACATCTGAAACCACTCTCATTATAATCTGCAAATTCTGACTTTTTCTGAAAGTGTTTAAATCATACCAAAAGGGCTTCCACCTTCAATATTCCAAAACTTCCCCATGACCATTCTCACTCTCTCCACATCTATAAGGTGCATTCTGTTGCAATTCGATTTATATTTATCTTCCCTCTATACTCTCCATATTAAGATTCCCTTCCCGCACACCTCCGCAGATTACCCTACATCCCTCTTACTCACTCCTTGACTTACCTTTGTTGGAATTTCCCCCTCAAAGACATCCTGGACTTCATCTGGGGCTGTGGGCAACTGGACAGTCAACTGGAATGTTCCTTTTCCTAGCCATACTAACTCATGGTTCTTTCTCTCCAGAACTCTTTGCTGAACTGAAATTTAAAAAAAAAAACTATCAATCTTTATTTTTTTGTCAATCTTTATTAACAAAATTATTCCATAATTTCCATAGGGTTTCATCATTATCAATCGGTGGTTTGGTCAGTTTCCCAAGCAGACCCTTGGGTGGTGAAAAGAGGAAGAGTTTAGCAAATAGACGTGGGTTTCGATCCCATTTTACCCTTAGGTTTTAACTCTTGTGTATGTTCCTTAATAAGTCTCACTTACCAAGCCGCAGTGTTCCTGTCTATTAAGAATTAACGAAGATGGTCTTGTACAGGTGTTACATGGATTAAACTGGAAAACATCATGAAAGACTTAGTACAGCACACTATGCTCTGTAGGCACTTAGAAAGGTAACAATACTTATTCACAAATGAAAGGAAATAAAGCATGCCTCGTGCTGAGCCACTGAAGGTTGGGTGCTGAGACAAGGCATGATGAGAGCTATATTTTAGGGAGGTGATTTGAGTGATCATGAACAAGAATGGCCAGGAATCTTGTGAAAAAAGCTATTTCACTCAGCTCTTTAACCTGTGATGATAAGAGCCTCACCTCTGATAGTAAAAGGAGTAGAAAAGGGATGGGAGAGATTAAAAAAAAGAAGAAGAAGAAGAAGAAGAAGAGGAGGAGGAAGAATTAGCACACTAGGCAGCTGGGTTGAAGTGAAAAAATTAAACAGTGAACATAAGAGTCCAAAAACTTGGATTTGAATTCCAACTTGGCCAAAAACTAGATGAGTGACATTGAGAAAATATCTTAACGTCTTGAGTCTGTTTCCTCCCTTAAAACGGTGTCTGTGAATGAATTCTGTAACACCCGCAAGATTATGCAAATGTGTTTATAATTATAAGCAGGAGCAGCCAGAGAGAGAAAAGGAAAACTAGTGTATCTCAGGCCACGGAGAAGAGGGAAAGAATATGTTTGGAGGAGGAGGTGTGGTCAACTAGCTGGAGCAAAGAGGTCAGGGTGAAGGGGATCTTTGAGAGCGCCCTACTACCCACAGATGTGGCTCTAACGGGAACGATGTGGCATTCTGATGTGGACAGTCTGAGAGCCAATGATGCGGGGCTCTTTCACAAAGAGGAGCTGGAATAGCTTTTGCACCTCAATCACGCATGAAAGCGTGGAAAAGTGAGGCTTTCACTGGAGGCTAACTCAGAAACAGGCCCCAGAAGCAAGAGGAGAAGGAACGCCAGACCCTAATTTGACTCTTTCTGAGATGGCAGGTGTCATCACATGGACTCCTGAGGGGTTGTCCCAAGCTAGAGTGGGGACCGGGGACTGGATAAGACCCCGGAAGCCTGAGAACAAGCCAAGTTTTGTAAACCAAGTTGTCTAGAGTCGTGGATTCTGTGATGCATTCCTTTTATAATTCCCTAGACTTTAGTAGAGTCTTATCCAGGCATCTAAGTGCCAAAGCCTGTGCTGAGATTGCACACAATACGTACGGCACCACGATTTTGAGACAGCGGGCAGTAGCCAGATGAGTAAGTGACCCGCAACGAGGACAAGGTGAATCTGGGAGGAAAAGGGAGGGCTGAAATTCTGCTGTCCAGCCACCCTTACCCATGTGGACAGCCTCCCTTCTGCACCAACCTCAGACCACCTACATTTAATTTTACTTAAAGAGGAGATGGGTTCCCTCACTCCAAAGAGGCTGAAAACCATCAGGAGCCAAAGTATGGCCAGAAAGGATGATCAATGCATGCATCTGAAGCACAGCTTAACATCTTGTAAGTCGGGGCGCCTGGGGGGCTCAGTGGTTGAGCGTCTGCCTTCGGCTCAGGGTGTGACCCCAGGGTCCTGGGATCGATTCCGCATTGGGCTCCCTGCATGGAGCCTGCTTCTCCCTCTGCCTGTGTCTCTGCCTCTGCCTGTGTCTCTCATGAAAAAATAAAATCTTAAAAAAAAAAAACTACGAAAATCTTATAAGCCAATTTACACTGGACTTTTCAGAAACTGCGTGAACTATTTAAGATACAGCTTCCACATACTTCTGTGTGCTATACACTAATTGTTACAAAGAAGTGCTGTTGGGCTCATTCTTACTACATGAGTTATATGAATAAAGTTGGGCTACACTGCAAGCCTGCACCTGGTGGGGAGGGCGGAGGGTGGAGGGTGGGAGGTTGGAGGGAATCCCTGGAGAAGAACTAGTGCGAGGACCGCCAGGGTGGGGTCACTCATTGTTAGCAAATTTCTGACAGCCTGTGGCTGGTGCATTACTTCCTCCGAAGGAAACTGAAACTGGAAAGGCACTTCTCACACCCCAGGACCTTTGTTATAAAAGATTCTGAGTAGTCTGAGTTGTCTGTGCTGGAGCAGGTTGGGGAGGTGGGCAGGGCGATGAGAAGAGAGAAGCCTAGCAGGGAGACTGAAACCATTTCTGCTTTCAGGGCTAGAAGAGAATGATGATTGATGCAAAAATGGATTTTGTGCTCTTGGTGTTTTTATGCTGTTTGTATTTTCTCTGAATCATTTTCCTTTTTTTGTTCATTCAGGGTTGTCAACAAGCAACTGAGCTTCCCAAACGTTAGCACACCAGGGTCACCTGGTGCTGGTTAAGTGTGCAGATTCCCACTCACCCACACCCGGGGCTCCTAAGAGACAGCTGGGACTGCTTCTGTTTAGTCTGCTGTGAGTCAGATGCAGAGGCTGGTGGTCCCAATTTGCGAACTACTCGAGGATAATGAGATTCTACAGAAGTAAGTGTCCCTAAGGGCCAGGCCCATATGATGCTGACAGTTGCAATCAAAGTGGTCTAACTCCTCGAGGTAAATGAAACCGAGGGGAAATGGCAGGCATTGCACAGCTGCCCTTCAGAGCATTCATTCCTTGGTGAAATTAATCCTTGGAAAACTTGGTTCTTTGCTCTCATCAGGGCTCTGAGCCTAGTAGGTCTCCTGTCCCCTACCTGCCTCCCCTTGGACACACTTAGCTGTGGACCCCTCTCCTTTCTGGGTTTCATTTTTTCCTTTCTGGATCTCTGCCCTAGACCATTGCAGTTTCTCTCATGTAAGCCTCACTGGCTCTCCTCTGGCTCAAATGCTTCTCCAAATCCAGCGACAGGAACATACAATCAGAGCTTGTCCACATCCTTCCCTATGGGATTCCAAAGGAAAAAGTGCGTGCTTTGGGAACAGCAGGTCGCAGGCCTCTTGGTACCGACCTGGTGGTGTCTTGAATGAGCAGATAATAATTGGGTGGGTGCTTTACTTCCCTTTCCTAAGTCAGGGGGTAGGGAGCAGTGAGAACTCAGTCACTCAGCTGCTGGGGACGGGGAGGGATCTTCCCCCACACACAAAGCTCAAAACTCGCGACCCACACCAACTCCGAATATCAGTCTGAGAACCACCCTGACACTGAGGAAAGAGGTACCAGTGCACCCTCAATAAAGATTCTGTGTGTTGGTCAACAGCGCAGGGCCCTCCACTAACTTTCTATATTTACACCCCATGTGATTTCAGGCAGCACTTTTGCCCCTCCTCCGGGTGATCCCAGAAACACTGGGAATCTCCATGACCCTTGGGAATAGCCCCGTGACTCCCCCACGTTATTGAACCCCACGTTATTGAAGACCTTTCTTTTTTTTTTAAGACCTTTCTTTCCCCACCTAAAAAATACCTGAAGAAAAGGAGGCTCTCATTCTCTCACAGAGCATTGACCTGGGTCCCCAAATCCAGAACATGCATCTTCCATCCCTACGCTGATCTTCCTTGCTCCAGGACTCACCTGTCCTCACCTAGAACATTGTGTGAAATCTCCTAAAAAGTTCTGATTTGTAGCATTTCTCCCAGCAGAAGTCTAGGTACTTACTTTCAACCAAATTCATCTCCCTAAAGTGGGTTTGGACATCCCCTCTGCCTACTATGGGGCAAGTTCCCACCCTGCAGGCGTCCTGCAGGGCCCCTTACCATCTCAACCCAACTGTCTCTTGGCCCTTCATTTCCTCCCCAGCGCTTCACAAGAAGCAGGTTCAATAAGAGGAGGCCCAGGATTTTTAAGATATAAGCACCAGAACATGAGAGACTCCTAACTCTGGGAAACGAACAAGGGGTGGTGGAAAGGGAGGTGGGCGTGGGGTGGGGGTGACTGGGTGACCGGCACTGAGGGATGGGCACTGGGTTGTTATGCTATATGTTGGCAAATTGTACTCCAATTTAAAAATATGTTAAAAAATAAATTAATTAATTAAAAATAAAATAAAATATAGGCACCCCCTTTGTAGCCTCCTGGGACCTCCGGGCCGGCGCTGCGGGCCCTGCTTGCGCGCGGGGACTCAGCCAACCTCCCCGAGGGCGCCCTGCGCCTTCCCGCGCCCCGCGCCTGTTCACGCAGCCCGCTCCCACCCGACGGTCCTCCCCAACACCCTGCCTGTCCGGGAGCCGAATTGGCCCCCCAGGAATCCGTTTAGACAGGACTCGCCTCCTCGGACACTTCCTCGCCCCTTTAAATTGTTCTCCCTTAAACCTCTGGAGCTGCCTTCCTGGGAGGAAAGCCCTGCAATGGAACAGCGACTCCGCCGCCAGCACACCTCGCGGCGGGCTCCCCGGGCGCCCAGTCTGCCGCCTCGCGCGCGGCTCTGCCGCCACCTCCAGGCAGCCCGCCGGGAGCGCTTAGCCCCACGGGCTCCAGCTCGGCGGGGTCGCCCCGCTGTGTGTCCCGGGGGGGGGGGGGCAGGCCTCCCTTGGGGGGGAGACCCCGGCTGTCACGGGTCCCCCGCACCCCGTGAACCCCTCACCGTCCTCTAGATGGAAGACCACCAGGAAGCGGGGCGGGCTGCCGGGCTCCCGGAGGACCTCGCACGCCCCGCCGCCCGACCTCCTCGCGCTCTGGAAGTACAGCTGCAGTTTGGTGGGCAGGCTCTCCGGGGGGTCGGGGCCCCAGGACCCCTCGACCAGCAGCGGGAAGGAGCCGGGCGCCGCCATCCTCAGCTCCGCTGCTCTGCCCCTGCGGCCGCGCGACTCACGCGACTTTGCCCCCGCGTCCGTTTCGGTTTCGGTTTCCCAGAAAACTCCTCCCTGACCTAAGTTTCTGTCTGGCAGCAGTCGCGACCCCCGCCCCGCACCCCAGTGCTTCGGCAGAGGCTGGCCATCGCCGCTCCAAGCAGCTGGCGCGCCCCTGTTAGTGCGCGTGGGTCCCTAAGCTGGGTCCCTAAGCTAGCACCCCCCCCCCGCGGGCCGGTCCCTAAGCTGGGTGGCTAAGCGGGGTCCCTAAGCCCCCACCCACCCCCCGTGCTGGGTCGCTAAGCTGGGTCTCTAAGCTGGGACGCTAAGCTGGGTCCCTAAACTAGCCCGCCCCCCCCCCCGCATGACGGTCCCTAAACTGGGTCGCTAAGCTGGGACACCCCCCCCCGCCCCCCCGTGCTGGGTCGCTAAACTGGGTCCCTAAGCCCCCCCCCCACGTGCTGGGTCGCTAAAGCTGGGTCCCTAAGCTAACCCCGCCCCACCCCCACCCCCACCTCCCTCGGCGAGCTGGTCCCTAAATTGGGTCGCTAAGCTAGGCCCCCCGTGTGCCGCTCCGCCAAGCGCCAGCGGAAATCAGCGTCTCCCATCACACGGGATACCTCGCGCAGAGACCACTTCATCTTTGTCGCAGGGCAAAGTAAAATGGCTCTGGCAAAGTGTGTTTCTTTGACATGTTAGAAGGAGGGCCCAGATAGGCCCAGGCAATGCTCAGAACTTTACCTTGCACTTCTGCTCTTGCGTTCTGTTCCCTGATCTGTTGTGAATAGTCTATGTCCAGAAACTGGGCAAGGTGGGGGCGGTCCGTTCAGGTTCTTTTTTTTTAAGATTTTATTTATTTATTCATGATAGATAGAGAGAGGTAGAGACATAGGCAGATGGAGAAGCAGGCTCCTCACAGAGAGCCTGATGCAGAACTCGATTCCAGGACCCTGGGATCAGGCCCTGGAAGCAAACTCAGACACAGGGTTGAGTGTAAAGGTTTATTAAGAAGCACTGTAGGGAGAGAGATTTCCAAAGACTTGGGGAAGGCAGATCTGGGCACAGGGAGAAACTGACCTGCAATATAGTTGGTCTGAAGCTTCAACCAATCCTGTGAAGATCTCTGGAACTCAGAGAGGCTTTGTAGTTGTCCCAAATTGAGTAAAGAAGTCATTCCTTTGAATCTCTGCACCATGCAGTCCTGGGAGAGGCAATTCTCAGATCAATTTCCAACGAGGGATGCAGCTGCAACCTGTCAGCAGCAGATATTCCTGGGAGAAAAGTCAGGCTTTCCTAAAATGGGGATCAGATGGACACTCCTGTATCCTCCGCAGGGTATTAGGAGGTAGGGTAATAAGTAGGTTAAGGTCTCGGTCAGGGTTTGAGACTAATTCTGGATTTTACCAGCTAGGTGACCTGGGGCAAATTAACCAAAATCTATAAATCTTAGCTTTCTCATCTTTAAAAATAGATATAACATTACTTACCAGGATAGGTTGTTTTCAGGGCCATATAAGATAAAAATATAAGTATATTAACAGCATTATATAGTGCCTAACTTGTAGGTTCGAATTATGCTGTTATATTTAATTAGTCTGCTATTTTTTTTTAATTTTTTAAAATTTATTTATTTATGATAGTCACAGAGAGAGAGAGAGAGAGAGAGGCAGAGACATAGGCAGAGGGAGAAGCAGGCTCCATGCACCGGGAGCCCGATATGGGATTCAATCCCGGGTCTCCAGGATCGCGCCCTGAGCCAAAGGCAGGCGCCAAACCGCTGCACCACCCAGGGATCCCAATTAGTCTGCTATTAAATAAGAGGTCTGTTCAAGGTCTATCAATTTATTATTTTTTTTTAAATTTTTTTTTAATTCTTATTTATTTATGATAGTCACACAGTGAGAGAGAGAGAGGCAGAGACACAGGCAGAGGGAGAAGCAGGCTCCACGCACCGGGAGCCCGACGTGGGATTCGATCCCGGGTCTCCAGGATCGCGCCCTGGGCCAAAGGCAAGCGCCAAACCGCTGCGCCACCCAGGGATCCCAATTTATTAATTTTTTTTAAAACTGACTTTCAGACATACTGGTTCTCTTTTTATATATTTGATTGTATTGATTTCTGCTTTTCTCTTTATTTCCTTTCTTTGACTTATTTTGAGTTTAATTTGCTCTTCTTTTTCTAGTTTCTTTTTTTTTAAATATGTATATAAGCACCTAATGTTACAATGCTACATTGCCTGAGCTGCATCCCATCCTTTGGGGTGGAGGGCAGGAAAGGGTGAGGAGGAATGATGAGATAAAGCCTTCTTTCTGGGGCTTCATAGGAAATGCACTGGAATTCTGGTTAGAGATTCTTGGGCCCAGTTTGTATCAGTTCTATGGAAATAGCTAATAGTAGGTACAGTTATTTTCATAGTTAGCCCTTAAAATCTATCCTTTGTCTTCTGTATTAAGAACAAAACCTTCATTCACTTAGTTTTATGACTAAATATGTATATTTCTGGCTTTCATTAAGGAAAAAGTATAATTGAAAACTACAGTTTACATGTGTAAACTGTCAGAAATATGATTTTATATACATATGATAACATTGTGTTGGAGGTCCCCAAGATCGCCATTGGTTCACTAATTCTCTAGGAGGACTCACTGGATTCGGCACGTAGTCATACTCACAGCTGTGATTTATTACAGAGAAAGGCTACCAAGCAAAATTGGCAGAGGGGAAAGGCATATTTTTTCTTAGAATACCAGCTTTAATCCTTTTCAAATATATTAATATAAGAAGGCAAATTGTAATGATACAGCAAATGAGGTCACTGGCATTAATATAGGCAAGGTCCACATCCAGGTGGCACTGATATCAGGGTAATTTCCAAAACCAGTTGCTGCCTAAGAGTGGTTGCCACTGACGAAAGCTTGAAATAACCCGTATTCACAGGGGGGTATTGGCATTGCTGCACATCATAATGAGGACCTCCCGCAACAACTCAACAAGGAACAAGGCAGCCCACAAATGCAGAAAACGTGATTCATGAAACATAACTAGCAGGCTGTTCTCCATATGGTCGCATTATTTGATCATGCATAAACTTCACAAATGCCTCATATTGTTCTGCAAGTTTTGTGTTCAATATTTCTTCGTACTCTTCTCGAACTTTCTCTTCACGTTCTTTCAACAAACGTTCATAGATATTCCCAACCTGCCGTAAAGTAAATAAGGGCTGTTCTTTTTTTAATGGGTGAGGAAACCAGACTCAGCTTCCAAGGGTCTTCTCACAGAGGGGTCACACAGGATACACTTAATTCCTCAAGCATTGAATTGTGAACATGTGTATGAAATGTTGTCTGGGACACCTGGGTGGCTCAGTGTTTGAGCGTCTGCCTTTGGCTCAGGTCGTAATCCCCAGTCCTGGGATCGAGTCCCACATCAGGCTCCCCACAGGGAAGCCTATTTTTCCTTCTGCCTGTGTCTGCCCCTCTCTGTGTGTCTCTCATGAATAAATAGATAAATAATCTTTTTAAAAAATATTGTTTACTAAGGAAGCTCATTGGAGCCTCGGTGCCCAAGGTTTTTGGGAGGCTGGCCATGTAGGCAGCCTCTGCCAAGTCCGCACCAAAATTCCAAATACCCTGAAGGAAAGCAGATGTTCAGTACAAAGCATGTTGTTTGTACAAATAGTGTAGGCACTTTGTGAGCCAATTCTCTTATCAGGGAATTAGGGGAACCTTCCCCAACTCTAAGTTCAGACACCAGCCAAAGGCCACCCTTGCAAAGCAAGGCTTTCTAAGGAAGCAGGATAACTCTTTTCTATGCAAGCATGTTCCTGTCAAATCGACTGGACTAAACTACATCCTTCAAAGTGGTAACTTGAAATATAATGTGGTCACCTGGGATTACAAGCTTCCTATAATTCAATCATAGGGTACAGAAAAACTGACTTTTGATAATACAACATCCATTTTTTTTAAATCCTGTGTCTTTAGAAATTTTACTTAAAATTTTTTCAAGTCCAGTGAGGAGTGAGAGATGTGATCAAATCCAATCCCAGCCAAATAAAAAGTCATAGAAATGCGGTTCACAGCCGGAACCCAAAATACACTGACAGCCTTGAGTTGACACAAACTTTGTCCAGAATTTGGCCACATAGCCAGAAACTTTAGAATAATTCAGAGGCTCATAAAATCCTCCCTAAAACTCCATGGAGACTCTGTCATCTTCTGAAGTCCCCTTTTCTCAAAGATCAGTCAATTCCACTTGAACTCATCGCCATGGTTGGGACCCTGATGTTTGAAGTCCAAAGTCATGCTTAGAAACAAAATGGATGATCAACACTAAGTTGAAACACAGAGTTTATCTCTTTTGAGGCATTAGGCAGATTGTGGTGGTCACAATGATGCAGCACAAAGAGGGCCCTAGAAGGCAGGACTTGTAGACTCAGCTGCTGGAAGTCTACGGGCCAGCAGCCTTCAGCTCTTAGCCATTAGGAATTAGTTGTATCAGCTGCAGAGTGACCTCGCTCAACTCACGCCCTTCCTCGTACAGTCCCCACCCCATGACTGAGTCCAGTAGGTGTACAGGGGCTCGCCCTTCTGGTCCAACATGGGACAACTCATGCTCAAGCACCCTTTTGAATTGACGGAGGCTGATGTCAAGCCCACAGGGCCCTTGAGCACTTTCCCAAACTTGTGTTCTCTGTCTCCCTTCCATGGATGCTGATCCCAAGAGTACTCCCTAACTAACATCCTGCACATTACATTTCACGTCAAAGTCTGATCCCTAGAGAAGCCAGGCTGTAACATAATTGGGTATGAAATTTTAAAGCATCTTTCATTCTCTTGAATGAAGGCAGATTAGCAACTGGGAACAAGTGCCATCTGCTCAACCCATGTGTCTTTCATCGCCCAACCACAGCACTTCCTGAAGGTTTCACTAGGGTGCTTCCTCCTTGCAGTCTCAGCTCAAGGAATCTGGATGTTATATATTTTTTTAAGATTTTATTTATTTGAC